TCTTTACAACCTAGTTAACCAAGTCCTTTAAATATTATAGGTTGAATATATATTAGCCAATTTTCTTTTTAAGTTTGTATCTATACTTAATTTTATTCTTAAACACCGTAGTTGTTTCCAACAAGGAAAGTCTTCTCATGAACAAGGTGAATTTTATAAATCTAATAAAATAAGCTTATGCAACTTTGAATGTTTCATCTTTATAATCACAAGATTAAATCTCTTACTGAAGCACACCATTAAAATTGGAATCATAACTCTAATCTGTTCCATATACCAAGTTCTTATGCACAAATAAAATATTCAATATATACAAATTATTCTCAAACATTCAAAAATAATAACACCATTTGTTTTATATTTTATTTTCTCTTCAAATAATTATAAACATGCCTAGGTTTTTAAAGTTATGTTCTAAGATGGTAGTTTTTAACAGGGATGGTACTGCCCCCTAGGGGACATTTTTGAAATTTCATGGTTTGTTTTTAGTAGTAAGTGATGGAAGGATGCTCTAGTGTTCAGCACACAGAGGTTGAGGATGCCGGACATCCTGAAATACACAGGAGAGTGCCACACAATTAAAAGTTATTCTGCACAAATTTCAAAGGTCTCTTCATGTAAGCGAAGACTTCATAATTACCTGTGCCTAGAATTTCACCATGTTTTAAGTGTATTTTTTTGCATAGTTTTGATATGGATTGAATTTTGCAGGAATTGCAATTATCTTGCAAATCATGTAGAGACTGTACTTTGATATGTCTTGGACTCTACTAAGAGTTATTGACCATTTCAGAGAACTGTTGTGAGTAGCAATGTCACGGAACTTGAGTCAGTCTGCTTGTGCAGCAGTCACATTCATGGTGATTAGATATAGATCTATGGACAGGAATATATAGATATATTTCTTAATCCCTTGTTTCAAGTGATCAAATATTTTATAACTTCATAATTTTCAGTTAAATATTGTATTATCTTAAATCTAACCTTAATAAGCCACTTATTATATCTTCTGCTAAAAGAGTACTTGAGCATATACATATTGAAATACAAACTTTTTATTATAAGTAACTTTCTTTTATTTCTCTTTTATACTACAGTTTGAGAGAGAGGTATATTATGTAACTAGATAATGTTATGTATGAGTTCCATTTCAGGATAGGAGAGATTATTACAAAGTGTTTTTAAGCTTTAAAAAAATATGTAGCCCTGGATTTATAGTTGTGATACTGCTGTCCTGTATACTGTAATTGAACAATTAAGTAAGTAGATAACAGGTAAAGGGAGCATGTTTTTTTCCTAATTGAGTGGGAATTAACAGATAAGAAACGGGAGAAAGGATGATCCATGTGGTGATGAATTAGAGTTGGAAACATCCGTATGAACTCATGTTTAGCTCAACATCAATACATGTGGTTACAAATAGGAATATTTACAGATATATGTAATACATGGGTTAGTATACATGCATATATTTTGTACAGAGAGGGTGAGAGGAAATATTTGTATGTATAGATGTAGGTGAGGGAGCCTAGAAGCAACACCACCACAGTAACAATGAACACACCTAGCATGCAGGTGTTTACGTCAAATACCATGCTCTAACAAAAGGAACCAAGAACTTCAGTTCTAGGACTAGGACAAGAAATAGACAAAATAAGCCTGCAGCATCATATATAGTGCCAGAAGGTAGGGAAACTGTACACACACAATGATGGGGGCAGGTGTTAGAGAGACACAGGAACCAACAGAAAGACTCACAATGGCCAAAGCCAAAAAAACTTGAGCAAGAAAATAATTAAAGTACTATTGGATTATACACCAAAGTATAAAATAGGTATCCATGAGTCCATACAGATTTAAACAAATAATTAAATAGATAAATAGGAGAGAAGAGACAAATCTCCTGTGCAGACGAATTCCAAATAATTTATGAAGATTCTCCATCCTCAACAAGGTGGAGCTTAACTCCCCACTCTCCACCTGTGGGCTGTATGCAGTAACCTCCTTCCAAAGAGGACAGTGTGGAAAGGAATGTGAGGAAATGGCTTCGTAGGGGACACACACAACCTCAGCCAGGCGATCATGCTCAGCGTCAACAGTAGTAAGTCATGTTGACAGTATGCACCTTTGACATGACGTAATAAGAATGGTGCTTTACCTCTGTGGTCTTCCTCCCCCAAATCCGTAACTCTAATCTAATCACTGGAAAAAATTCAGACAGATCCCAGTGAGAAAACATCCTCCAAAATATCTGACCAGTCTTCCTCAAAACCGTCAAGACCATCAAAAACAAGGAAAGCCTGAGAAATGGCCACACCTTGAGGAGTCTAACTAGCATGATGACTAAATCAGTGTGACATCCTGTGGGGCCCTGGAACAGATGGACATTACATTAAAACTAAGGAAATCTGCATAAAGTATAGACTTTAATTAATAATAATGTGCCAACAGTGGTTCATGAATTGTAACAGATATACCCTACTAATAAAAGATGTTAACAGAAACTGGGCATGGGATATATTTGAACTATTTACTATCTTTGCAATTTTTCTACAAATATAAGCTTTTCTTAAATAATAAATTTTATTTAAAAATAGGTAGCCCTGCCCTGGCTGATGTGGCTTAGTGGATGGAGTGCCAGCCTGTGAATGGAAAGGTTGCTGGTTCGATTCCCAGGCAGGGCACATCCTTGGGTTGCAAGCCAGGTCCCCCGTTGGGGGCATGAGAGAGGCAACTGGTAGATTCTCTCACACACTGATGTTTCTCTCCCTCTCTTTCTCACTCCCCTCTCTCTCTAAAAATAAATAAATAAAATATTTTTTAAAAAAGATATGTAGTCCTTATAGGCAGACAACTACAAAACTTTACCAAGAGATACAAAGGAAAAATTTAGATAAGTAGAAAGAGTTATCATGTTCTTCAATGTAAATAATAGTTTTTTGTAAAGATAACTCTCCCTAAATATTTATTCCAAAATTTAGCTTAATTTCAATCAAAATAGCAAAGAATTTGGGGGAAAATTGAAAAAATATTCTTAAAGTTCATCTTAAGAATTATTACTTAGGAAGAGCGGGATTTTTTAAATCTAAATCAAAATTGGTAGTCAGATAGTAAATCAAAAATTAAATTAGTACACATTAAAACAGTCTAATATTGTTGCAAGAAGAGATAGCTCATTAGACCAGAATAGAACATTGAGAAGTAAATATACTGGTACCAGTATATAAATTTTGAATATAAAGAGAAGATCTCAAAGCAGAGAAGAATTGAAAAATAATTTAATTAATGGTGTTGGAACTTGCTAAGACATATATAGATATGGAAAGTGCCCTATATGTACATGTACCAAATTAAATTTCAGATGGATTAAAAGTTCATTTTAAAAACTGAAACCCCAGAAAAACCTAAAGACAATACAGGTTATGATGAATCTGGTAACTAGCAGAAAGAGGCTTTTTAGGCACAAAAAGACAAAAACAATAAGCCAAAATCTTGGCAAATTTGCATAAATAATAAAACTTTTCTGTGTTAAAAAAAAATCCCTCCCCCCCAAAAACAAGGCAGTGATGAACTGGGAACAAAACTTCGCAACATCTGAGAGAACAGATTCATATAGTTAATATATAACACATTTCTAGATATCTGTAAGGGGAAGAAATACTTCAGTGGAAAAAGAGGTCCAAGAATATAGGAAGACAATTCACAAAGTAAGCATTGAATATTTACAGAGAGGGAGAGGGAGGGAGAAAGAGAGGGAAAGAAACATTTGATCAGTTACCTCAGTTGCCTCCCATATGCCGCCTGGCCAGGGACCAAATCCAGAACCCAGGCATGTGCCCTGCACACATGCACCCTGAGCAGAATCGAGCCTGTGACCCTTAGCTTTGGGGAACGAAGCCCAACCAACTGAGCCACACCAGTCAGGGCAGCAAAGTTTTGGTTTTTGGTTTTCTGGTTTTTGGTGTTTTACAAAGCTAATAGTTAGGAGTGGGAAAAAATAGACTCTCCCACATACTTTTAGGGGGAGTGTAAATGGGTACAGTATTTTTGGAAGGCAACCTAACAGTAAGTATTAATTGCCATAAGGAATGTATAGTTTCTGACTCAGCAATTTCACCTCTAGGGATATATGATCAGAAAATACTGTGCACCATGACATAAGTACTTCATGCTAGGAGAACTCATAAAAGCAAAAATTAGAAAGAATGCCAACTCAAAAAGAGGAGCTGATACACTGAATTTTATGTAGTACATCCACAGGACAGAATGTTTGATAAGCAAAACATGGAAATTCTGGAAAAGGCAAATGTGTAGGTAGGGAAGGAAAACCTTTCAGTGGTCCCCAGAGTCTGGGGAGCCTCAGGAAGGGGTTCGCTGCAAAGAAGCATAAGAGGAGAATTGGTTGCTGGGGGAATGGGTGATGAAAATGTTCTGTATCTGAGCTGATTGTTTCACAACTGTAAGTTTGTCCAAACTCATAGAAGTGCACACTGAAAGGCTGAGTTTTACTTCATGTAAATTACACCTCAATAAAATCAACTTTAAAAAGAAATCCTGTCAAAGAATATTAAACAACCTGGAGAAATCTAAATCACCAATGAAATAAAATCAGGACTTTGCAAAGGAGCATGACTGGAGTGATGGGAACTTGGGGAGGGCTGGGTTACACATTCAGAGGGTGACAGGGGTGGGGTGGCCTTGGCGAGGTGCGCTAAAAGGAAACACGCTCAAATGAAATCAAGGGAAATCAAGTACTGTTTTTCTCCTCAGGTTGTTGGGGGGGGGTTGTTTTTTGTTTTAAATGGGGGCAGGTCGGGGTGGGGAAGTGGATACAACCGCTTGGAACCGCAGCCGCACTGGCTTTGATGTTTCCGTAGAGACATGGAGCAGGAGAGAAAGCCACCAAAGGGAAACCAAGCGGCGGCGGGGCGGCGGGGGGGGGGGGGGGAGAGGGGGGCAGGAGGGCAAAGTGGGTAGACAGGAAGTGGGGTGTGGCTTAGGGCAGGCGAGCTAAGGCCCCAGGCAGGAGGAAGGCGCATTCCTTCCTGCCTTTTGCAGGGGTGAGAAGCTGCGGGGGGCCAGCAGTGTCCCCACTGGTTCGCTGGGAAAGTAACAGTCCAAAGAGCAGTCATTTCCTGAGTGGACACCGGATTCTGGACCAGGAAGGCCTCATCATGATATGTGAGTCTTGCTTTCCCCTGGCAGGGTCGGGGGTTGGGGGGTGGCTTGGGCAGGGGGCTGGCCTCCTCGGCTCCAATCCAACCCCCGACGGGCCAGAGGACTGGCTACCTTCCTTCACAGTCTCAATGACCCGTCGTCCCCCCCACCACCACCCCACTTTGTCTCCCTAGGGACAGTGGCAGCTGCTGCAGTCGGAGGAGGTGAGTTACTTGGGGCCCTCACCCTGGGAAGGGTGGGGGACTTTATAGACAGGGTGCTGCAGGGCTTAGCTGGTGGGGGCTGGCTCCACCCCCCCAACCCTTCCTCTCTGGAGCTGCCTGGGAGAGTTTTAGGGGAGAGAGCAGTACTCCTGCAGAAGTGGCACCTGGACCCCCAACATAGCTGCTCCTCTAGTGCTTACATATAATGAGTGCGCAGACGAGAGTTCATTTGAAAGGGCGGTTGCTGTTAAAAACTGCAATGGTTTAGTTCACCCTCCACATTCACATACTTGCACAAACTTGAGCCCAGGGAGGGGTAGTGACTTCCTCAGCGTCACACAGCACGTTAGAGACCCGTCCAGGGCTCTGCCTGGACCTCCTCTGCCGTCTCTGCCCTCCCCCCGCCCGCCCCTCTGCACCCCCCACCTTCTTTACCTTGGCACCCGGCTCCAAGCCGCCACTTCCGGTATGCTCAGGCCGACCCAGCCCCTCTTCCCCGCAGTGGTGGCCGTGGTCGCTGTGCCCGTGGCTCTGGGGGCCATGGGCTTCACCGGGTCAGGAATTGCAGCCTCCTCCGTAGGGGCCCAGATGATGTCATCGGCCGCCATCGCCAATGGGGGCGGGGTTGCCGCCGGTAGCCTGGTGGCCACTCTGCAGTCCGTGGGTAAGTGTCCTGAGCAGGAGGAGGAGGCAGAGGATTGGGATCGGGAAGGACCTGTCCTCTCCCTCCGGTTCCGAGGTCGTCGGTGCCCCTGGCCCTTTGTCTCTCCCTCCCTGTCCTCTTTCCAGCACCTTCTGAGTGAGGTTTGGGGCTGAGTGGAGCAGTGAGGGCGTCCTGGGAGGGAGCGGAAGGGAGGGGGAGCCCAGGGTGAGTGATATCTGGGCTGTGGGTCCAGATCTACCCAAACCTGACACCTGGAGGGCCTCAGTGGGTCCCCGCACTCTAGTGACCTGCTGAGTAAAGTGAGGGGACCTGAAGCAGAGCCTGTGGCCGAATCTCCTGTCTTACACTTCCCTTGAGTTCACTCCGTCTCTTCTCTCTCCGCCACCTTCTGCACCCTTTACCCAGAGCAGAGCCCTGTAGGTTTCAGGACCTAGAGGAGGGAACTGGCTGGGACCTCTGGGCCTCAGGCCTCCTGAGGGTCCCTGGCCACTGGCCACTGCATGTTCCCCATGCTCACCCTCTCTTCTCCGCAGGGGCAGCTGGGCTCTCCATGACATCCAACATCCTCCTGGCCTCCATTGGATCAGTTTCTGGGGCCTTGCTGGGACGTTCAAAATAGGCACCCCCTTCCTCTCCCCCAGTTGACCCAACTGAAGGGGACAAGCCAGGAGAAAACATATTCCAAGTCAAACCTCTGAAACTCCTGCTCAAGTCAGAGAAGCATGAGAAATAAAGAGCACCTGCAAGCTCACCTGCCCGTCTCTGCTCCTTGCAGCGCAGGCCGGGATGCTGCGAGCTAGAGGGCTCGGTTCTCCCCTTCCTCCCAGCCTGCGTTGTGACAGAGGGACAGCGGGGTGACAGGCTGACCGAGCACAGGATCGGTTCACAGCAGGCTTTGGCTGGTCCTAATCTTAGAAGGGATGGACTGTATAACCCAGGGCCATTCATGGGCCTTCTGTGGGCCTCGGTTTACCCCTCATTCAATGGTGGGGTTGATAAACCTTCCCGGTGGGAGGCTGGGCTGAGGAGTAGCCAGGATGCATACTGACCCACTGACCAGGGAGCCCTTGGCCCTTCCTCCTGAATGGCCACTAGACATCCAGAGATGAGGGACACCAACCTTCCCTGGGTGACCTCACAATTCCTAGGGGGAAGCTGGCAAGCAAACCCCCAGGACAGGGCAGTGTGCCAGAGGTTACGTGGGCTCCAGCACGTCACGGGGAAAAGACCGAATCACATGTCACTACACTGTGTCTGCAAAATCAAACAGGAACCGACATTCACCAGCTCCTACCCTGGTGATGGAGGCTTTTGAATGTCCCTAAGTCTCTATTCACCTCCAGAATGAGTTCTTTTTTCCTGCCAGAGAGGTGTCATTCTCTGGAAGGTATTTGTTTTGTTTTGTTTTGTTTTGTTTTAAGGATAGATGCAAAATAAATAAAAATTATTCTAAGACTTCTGCTTACACCCCCGTAGATGGTTTTGAGGAGGCCTCAGGTGCACAGCCTGCATTTTGCAGACCACTTCATGGCCATGTCAAGAAAAGGACCGCTTAGAGTGTAGAAAGCTGCAACAAGAAAAGGCCAGGCAACCCACACAATCCTAGCTTTTCTTGAACCCCTAAGAGAACGGAAGTCGCAGGGCCACCAGATGGCCTGAACTCTCAGGAAAGTGGAACACCTCCAAGGGGAGCACTGGGCCACTTGGGGCAGCACACGGCGGGGAGGGGCACCGCAGTGCAAGCAGGTGAGAATTCAGCTAAACCCTTAACTGATTGCTCAAGGCCAGGAAGGAGCTGGTGTGCCGCTGTGGGACTCCGAGCAGCTGCAGGCACAAGGCTGGTTCCCACCAACCTGCGGGCTCTCCTCAGAGGACTTGCTGGGTGCTCCCAAGAAAGATTAAGGGCAGGCAGAAACCCAGAGGAGACTTCCCTCACTGGGGCAAGATTGGGGACGAGGCACTGTGCCCCCCATCTCTCTTCTCCCTGGGGAACAAGAGCCTTTTGCTGCTGAGGGAAGTGAAGGAAACCTTGTAACCCATGCCACACCCCACGAAGCACAGAAGAAGATCACGGCAGACGGGAAAGAAAAGGAGGAAACATCACCCCTGAGACTGGGGTGCAGAACCTTCTTGGACAGGACAGTTAGAACGTGCCCACTGCGGGGAGAGCAGCTGTGGGGCTGTGGAGAAAGCCCAAGGCCCACTGTGCCTGCCCAGACTGATGGGCGCACAGAGAGCCCCAGCGCCCCACGGGTGTGCAGAGAGGCCCCGTCCAAGATGCATACACAGAACGGAAGCCTAAAGTTCAGGCTGGAGCTGACACAGAAGGAGCAGGCTCTGCAGGAAGCCCGAGGTGACTCTAATCTGAAGCAGGCGGTGCAGGACGGTAACCACAGCAACAATATCCGAACCCAGCTCAGTGGAGCTGCTGAGAGTGGCCCAGCCTCCCCCTGCAGACCTAGCCGGAGGGGCATGCCTATTTCCAGGCATAAATACCACTCACCTCTGTCTCTGACTTGTGCAGCAGACATGGGGGGAGGTTCCCCCCACGTACCCCCTGACATGTCCAGTGCCTGCCTGCTGCCCTCCCTGCCCCCACCTGTGACTCCCTCCCAGAGCGCTGCGTGTGAGGCCCACAGGGCTGGCGGGAAGGATCGGGTGTTGGTCCTCACAGGAGAGCCCTCAGCGAACCATGGGTTTTAGGGTGGAGGTAAATGTCCTCAGGCCAGTTCCACGCTGCCTCCCAGGGGTCAGGGAGGTGTTGCCTCAGTTGCCCACAGGGCACTCTCGCTCACTTACGGGCCCTTTCTTGGCTGCCCATCTGTCCCCCTCTCATCCCTCATTCCCTCATTTGGGCTCCCTGGTCCCCCCAGTAAACCATTGCACTCAGATCCTTGTTTCAGGGTCTCAGCCCAAGACGGCTTCTAGCCCCACTCAGCAGCCTACGGGGCTGAGCCGGAGACAGCCACAGGGCTCTATCAGGTCATCCCTGAAACCTGGCTGGGTTCAGGCCTTATCCATCTCCTTCTTTCAGGATGAGGCTCAGACAGGGACAGTCTGTCCTGTAGCGACCCACCTGGCCAGGACCCCAGGCAGGCCCAGGTCTGCCAGAATCCTGGCAGAGAACACAGCTCAGCTTGCGGTCTGGCCCCCAAGCCAGGCGACCCTGGACAACTGCCACATGCCAAAGGCCACGGTGTAAATCGCTCACACCAGTGGACCATCCCCAAGTCTTTGCAATTTGTCAGGGAAAACATTGCACAATTCCAGTTGGAAAAATGTCCCTTCTCGGCTACCATTTCCCCTATTACCCAAGATAGTCAAGAGAGTCTGTCTGGCCGGGGCTGGCACGCAGATGGTTGACCCCAGTGAACCACTTTACCACCCTACTCTGATTATCTTCCTCAATGTGAAATTGATTCATGATGAAAATAATTGTATCTCCCTGAACACGGGCCGGTTGCTCGAGGCAGCTGGGAGGGGCTGGTGGGAACATAGCCGGTTTCAGTCTCCGTGTTTGGAGAGAACCCTTGAAGCAGACCGTGTTCTCCACCTGCAGAAAGAGGGCCGTCTTCAGTAGCCATGGGGGTTGGGGACTTCGGGTCACTTCTTACAGGTTTGTTGGTTTGTTGGTTTGTTTAACAACACCTGTCAAACGGGCGGCATGCCCTCTCCCGGGATGGTGTGCAGATTTTCTGTGAGGAGCCAGGGGCCAAGCCTTAACTGCAGTAGATGGCTCTTTAATGTCGTTTTCATCCTCTTGTTTCAGGGCCTTTAGGGTTACTCTCAAAGTCACCATCTAGGGTGTCCCAGGAGATGCCCTGGGACCCAGGAGGACAGGGAGCGGGGCTCCTAGGGAACAGAAGCCCTTTCCTCCCTCCCCCTGTCCAGTGCCAGGAAGTCATGACAGGTCCGCTCACCTCGGGACCCCTTTCTGTACCCACTGTTTTCCACAATCACAGGGCAGCTCTGTGGCTCCCACCTTGGGTCCCTCTCAGAGGGTGAATGCCCAGGACTGGTTAATGGTGATGCTGGCGGCTCCTGCAGGCAGGCAGGGGCCCTGGAATCCCACAGGGGCAAGACTGAGTCCCAGGGGTCCACTGAAGCCAGGAATCTCCGGAATCCTGGGGCTGCCAGAGTATGTTTAGCCAGCTCCCAAGTGACCACCCCTCAGCCTGATAAAAAGAGAAGGGGGTATCAAGGCTGTTTTCTGTTTCTGCCTAAACAAATCATTACAAATATAGGAGCTTAAAATAATGCCCATTTCTTGCCTTATAGGTCAGCAGTGCAAGAGGGCTTGATTGACTGAGTCCTCTGTTTAGGGTCAAACGTCAAGGTGTCAACCAGACTGAGCTCTCATTTGGAGGCTGTGGTAAGAATCTTCAAATCCTCCTCTTGCTTCAAGCTCTGATACCCTCTTCTGTGATTGCAGGGGGCCAGGGGAAAGGTGTGTGGTGGGGGGGGGGGGTCTGACCAGACGGCTTGGGAGCAGGGGATCCCTGGTCCAGCACAGGAGGCTGCACTCCCCAGAGATGCTCAAGGTCAGAGGAAACACCAAGGTGGTAATTGCAATTGCACCTGAAACTGTGTGAGAGGCTTCCGGACCCCAGGGAAGGGTAAACAGCTAACACGAGCCAAGCCGGCTTGGCTTGCACAGAGGCTGCACGGGCTGGAGTTCACAACACCTGTGTGTGGTGACTGTGAGCGTGGCAGTGCTCCTCTCGGGGCAGAGACACTGTGTGTGGTGCACACCAGCCAAGACTGGCTGGGAATTTGGATACTTCCACCTCATGTGGGAGTTTGGGGCAAAAGATTTCAAACAGGGTGTGTGGACACTTGGCCCTTTTTGTGTGCCCCTTGCCCTGCCCGATTGGGGGAAGCCGGGGCATTTGCGGCCCTGGAGTGCTCCAGGATCCTCTTGGGGCTCTCGCCTTGCTCTGCTCGCAGGGTCCGGAGCAAGTCTCCCCAACAGCAGCCTGCAGCGCGGCGCACAGCTTGGACCGGTCCCATTCGCTGGCTCTGTGAACAGCGCACAGACGCGGGCCGGGCCCCACAGACAACCCGTCCCTGCCCCCGCACAGCCCGCGGCAGTGATCTGGCAGTGTGCTCCAGCCCTTGGAGAGGGAGGGAGCTGCAAGGGGGCCAGGTGCCACAGAGACAGCGCGGGAGCCTGGAGCTGGGGACCCGGAGACCCATTTGTGAAACAGCCTTGGACTCCGAAAAGGCAGGTGAGAATGGAGGCCTGGATTTGGATTTGGATTTCAGTCTTTTTGGGAACAAGGGGATCTGTGTGTTTTGAAGAAGAGAATGGTTTTGTCACAGGTGAGCACAGGTAACCAAGTTCTTGGTGATAGCGGACAAAAAATTGAACCGAACACACAGAGTTTATAGCAGAAAGCCAGAGAAAGCAGATTTATTAAGCCACACCGAACATGGGAGCAGGCCAACTCTGGGCAGAGCAGAGCAGAGCCTAACAGCCTAACAGCCTTGACCTCCAGGGCTAGAGGGCTTTTATTCCTTTAAGGTGGGTCTCTTCTGGCTAGTTTTTGGAGGGCTTTTATTGCGCATGTACAAGTAGTTATGTTATTTTAAAGTTACTGCACAGGTAGTCTCCCATGATTTCCTTGATTGGCTACCGGGAAGGGGGCCCCACAATGCTAATTTATTATAATGCTATTATAATGAAGCAGGGGTCAGGTAGTATCTTCTGCGCAGGTGCATTCCTGATTCTCTAGGATTCAATGCTTTTCCAGATGCAGGAACTACCAGTCTTAAAACAGGGTCTCGGCCCTTTATCCCTGTTCTTTATCCTAGCCTTGGGGCACCTCTGGAGTTTCCTCCTTCCTGACTATCTCCCGCCTTAGTTTGGAGTAGGGGATCCCCCACTTCCCCCAATAGGGCACCATGTAAATAAAAACATTTTTCTTTCCCCACCGATTTTTGTGTTATGTTTGTGTGTGGCAGCGGGCAGCCAAATGCCACTTTCTCTGATAACAGGACGAACAGAGAACCCTCTCTGCTTTTAAAGGGCTTGTGTGATTACATTAGACCTGTTGGCGGACAGGGGCCTGGCCCTGAGTGGGTCTGCCCAGGGCCAGCTGCAGCGTGTGGGGTTTTGACTTCATGTAGGAACGATTTCACAACACGAGTCCAGGTGACTAAGACGATACCGGTATTAAAGCTGGGGACAGTGAGACAAGGGCTTAGCATGGAAGAAGCAACAGGTGCTGAGGCTGGGCTGCCGTAGCTCACTGGAAAGTCAGAGAAAGGTGGGGCTTTGGGGACAGGTTCAGGGGATCAGCCTGGGACGAGCTGCCAGCTGCCCATTGCCTTAGGCATTTAGGAGACGTATGCCTGTGAAGAAAGAAGTGGGGCGGGGTGTGGGGGGGAGAAAGGAAAGGGAACGGCTCTGGCTGCTCCCCCGAGGGAGAGCTCACCTGCCCAGGGTCCTTTGCCTTGCGGCTTTTGTCTCTTTCTTGCAGGTGAGAATCTCAGGGGAGGTCCCAGGGGAGGGTTTCAGTAGAATATTCATCAGCTCTCCAGGTGTGTGCTTGCAGGGTCGTGGTCTCCTCTGCGTGGTCAGCGCCAGGCAGGGGGTCATTGCAGTCATTGCAGTCGGTTCTGGCGCCGCCCACCTGGTTTTGCTGCTTTTCTGGGTCGGGAGCTGAAATGCAGCTGAGGCCTAGAGGTTACCTCCAGGGGGTGAGGAGGTCAGCCTGCGGGGGATGTCCTTGTTTGCCCAGTTTTGCCCCCTGCCAGGCCTTCTTCTGGTGACCGTCTGCACCTGGCTGTGAAGTGCTTGGCCATTGTGTTCCGCTCTCTGTCTCAGTTCTCCTATTCCACTTGCCAAGGGGTTTTCTCAGCTTCTTCCTATCCTGCCTCAGACCCACCTGTGAAATCTCCCTTTCCTCATATAACTTAGCATAATGACAGGAGGGAAGTGCCATTCTATTCACAGGACCCACCCACACCCAAAGGGTGGGAAGTCACAAGGGAAAGAGCCACTAACAGCCATGCTTAGGACTCTGCCTAGCACAGAGGCCAAACCTGGGGCCCAGGGACGGGGAACCAGGTCACAGCCAGAGAACGCAGAGCAGGGCAGGGAAGGAAGTCAGGACGCAGCGTCCAGAACGACAGGTGCTCTTGGGAGAGGGGGGCTTGCAGAGCTGCCTGCTGGGCCTCGGCAGGGAGGGAGGCCCACCTGTCCATCCTCCTGGGTCCAGGTCAGACCCAAGGACCCTTCTTGTGGGGAACTTGGACTTCTAGTTGAGGCGGGGCGGCGGGGGGTGGGTCTTAACTTCAGCTCCAAGGAGGGCCTTCGGGAGCTCTCAAGAACACTTTGAAGTTGGAGGCATTATTTTGAGAATGTGTGCCTTTTGGGGGTGTGAAGGCGGGGAGGTTCAGATTCTTTTATCAGATTCTGCAAGGCATCAAAGAAAGGGGAGAAAGAAAAAGAATCAAGTAGTGAATTCATCAGTACCCCAAGGGGTTTATTCTTATGGCTGGGTAGCAACCAGGTTTCACTGACCCAGCGAGGAGCCACTTGAGGACGCAGACGAGTTGTTTAACTTTTTTACATTGTCCACTAGACTCACAGTTTTACTTCTTGTTGGAAACTGAGACCCCGTTAGGCTGCTGACAGCGCCTAGGACAGTGTGTATGGGGCATAAGGTCAGCAGTTGGGGGCCTGTCATGTTGAAAAGCCTCCAGTATCTCTCCAACACCCTCAGGATAAAGCCCAGGCTCCCCTTCCCCAACACACCTGCTCTGGTCTGAATGTTTGTGTTCAGCCCAAAATTCATGTTTACACCCGAACCCCCAAGGTGATGGTGGTGGGGGTTGCAAAAAGCAGGGATGCCACCTAGACTGAAATCACAACCCAAACTGCGCGACAGCCTCGCCACATCCAAGGGCTACCGTGAATAAAGGCAGCGCGGCTGTGCGAGCTGTGGGGGCTGCGCACCCCGCCCTGGGCCGAGACCCCTGCGCCCTGGGTGTGGCCAGGAGACTTCTGCCCCCATCTGCAAACCGGGAAAGGTCACCAGGGAGCTGACAAACGCAGTGGGCATTAGTGCACAAAGGTGCAGAAGTCCAATGCTTTGTCATGCATGGGTTTCTGGGCCAAGTCTTTACAACAGAACATGCTGGGAAGCCTGTGTTCTCTTCTGCTCTCTTTCTTGCCCCTCGCCCCCAGTTAGGGCGGGAGCAGGGGTGCTTGTGGGACCCGGGGCGCACACCCCGAGCCCCTTCTCACCACACGGATCGCGGACTGTTGGCCTCTCTCTTGCCTGGAGAGAGGCGCGGGCTGGGGAAGTTCCTCAGCCCCCTGGATAGAGCTTCCCCTGCACAGCCATATGGAGTGACCCGGTTGCGCACCACTGATCCGAAGAGACACAGAAGCCACTGCTAGGCAACGGCGACTCTGGAACTTACAAGGGCACCCCACCGAGAGAGGGAGAGACCGAGGATGGAGACCCCTTCGTGTAGTTGCCTCGAGCTCCAAAACGGCTTCTGGGCATGGGTGCGGATTTTAGTCTTTTTGAAAATAAGGGAATTTCTGTGCTTTGCAGAGAGGTTGGCTTGGAGCAAGGATGTTCCCAGCCCACTCAAATTGGGTATCCTGTTAGTAAAAACCTTCTACCTTCCCCACAAATCTTTATATTATGTTTGGACACAAGGGCGGGCAGCAGGACCCCGGGCTACCGGGTTACAAGCGCGCAAATGAGACTCAGGCTCCCTGGTGAGTGGCTGCAAACAGAATGCCCTCCGACCCCGCTTTCCTGACTCTGCACAGGAACTGAGTCAACACCTGCCCTGGCTGGGATCTTTGAGGTCCTTTAGATCAACTCCCCCTTTAGAGAAAAGCAAACGCGGCCCAGAGAAGCGCTGACCTGTCCAGGGTCGTATTCAGAGTCAGAAGCTGGCCAGGAGCAGCTTCCAGTCTTCTTGTTTACATTCCTTCCTGCTCACTGTACCCCAACACCATGGGGCTCTGTGACCACATGGTTGGGAGAGAGAAGTGAGCCTCCCCCGCCGCCACCCCCCCTCCCCGGCCCCGACTGCAAATGAGAGGAAGGGAATCCTGGAGGGGTTGCAACACCTCATTTTTATTCCTTAGTTTCCTCTGGGGGTGCAGCATGGGGCACATTGTCACCCTGTGTCTGGCCCCCACTGTGTCAGGCTGGTGGGCAGGGCCCCACCTGGTCCTTCTCTCAGCCTTGGGGGTTACAGGAAGCTATACCAGGAAGTAGGTCAGGGCAGACCCAGCGGAGCCCAGGATGATTTTGGACGATATAGACAGTCCAGCTGCTCCTGGAGAAGAAACTGAGGGTGAGTGGAGAGGGACCAGCACGCAGGGACAGCTCTGTGGGACAGGACCATGGGGTCGGAGAGTACAGCACCTCTGAGGAGGGCCCAACACCCAGATACCCCACCCAGTACCCCCTTGGTGCCCCCAAAGCCCCAGATCTCTGCTTTGAGACAGCTGCTGCAGGCAGCCACCCAGCAACATGAATTCCAGGGGCTAATCCCAGGGCTGGAACCTGCCTTGCTCTCCAGGGAAGGAGACTGAGCCCCAGGGGGGTGAAGATGCTCCAGGGAACCCAGCGACCCATGTTGGGCAGAGTCTGCCTGAATCTACATGTACCCCAGGCTAGGGCTCCTTCCCACCCTCCCACATCCCCTTGAGAGAAACCCAGGGAGACAGCAAGGAGGGTGAGACACAGGCACAGAGAGACGAAAGATCGCTGCGGCGAGGAGCTGGGCTGGCCCCTCCGAGGCTCCTGCCCTCCTCATCCCCCCCGCCCCAAGGACACTTACCCACGGACTGCAGAGTGGCCACCAGGCTACCGGCAGCAACCCCGCCGCCATTGGCAATGGCAGCCGATGACATCATCTGGGCCGCTAAGGAGGAGGCTGCAATTCCTGCCCCGGTGAAGCCTATGGTGCCCAGTGCCACAGGCACAGCGCCCACAGCCACGGCTGCTCAGGGAAAGGAGCTAGGTCAAGGCGACGCTCAAGGGAACAGACACCCTTCCTGCCCCGCCCCCCCCGCCCACCATTGCTCATGCTTGGGTGACCTCAAGAGGGTGGACAAGGGGGTGAACTCTGAACTTGGGAGAGACTATCGGCCTGGCCAGCTGTCACAGGAAGAAGGGGGGAAAGCAGAGAAGGCTGCAGGATCACTGGGGACAGGGCCCTGGGCCCGGCTCTGGCGTGGAGCAGGACCATCCTTGGCAAAGTCATTTGCTCTCTGGGTCCCGGTTTCTGCCCTAGTAAGATGTAGGCACTTTGTCTTTGCTAAGGAAATCTTTAATGCAGTTGATCATACTCTCCCAGGGGCCTAGTATAAGCATGGGACATAGTCTGAGCTCTGCGTGCATTGCAGTGAATCCCAGCTCAGGGGCTCCATGGCGTCACCACAGGGCTATAGGAAGTCACTAGACACAAGGTCACCAAGCTGATCGCCTCTCTTTAATGCCCTGCCCACGTTCTGACTCTGTGCTAGCCTCACGATAATCCTGAGTGCCCGTATTGGCCCGTATGCCGGCGGAGAAAATGGGAGCTCAGAGGAGGTCAAAGACATGTCCAAGGTCACACAGCAGATGCACAGCAAAGAGGAAATTGAGCTCCTGCCAAGGCTGCCTCCACACCAGAGTTTCCATGAGACTCCTTGGTTCAAGATCTCTTTCTTGTTTCCAGTCCCTTGCTCCCTGCTCACCCCCACCCTTCCTTCTCCTTTCCTACCACCTACGTGAGGCCTGGCGCAGACGTGGGCAAGCACAAGGCTGACATCAGTCCCTTCCCTAAAGAGACTTACCTCCTCCAATCACCACTGCAACAGTCTTGGCTGGAAACCGAAAGAACACTGTGTGAGTAGAGCCACACTGGCCTCCCTTCCACTCCCTGAGCTCATGACCCTCTACGGGGAGGAGACTGTCCCCATGCTCCCCCCACCCACCTTCACCCGGAGACCTTGGATTTCCAAGAAAGGGGGCTTCCCAGCCCTGAGCTTGGTGAGGGTTGCTGGGGAGTCTGATTGCTGAGGTGGAAGACCTGTCCCCCGTGAATGCGCAGCCTTGGCCTAACGTTATCTGGAGACAGGGTTTCAGGTCCTGGTGTCCAAACACTCAGTCATTAGTTACAGTTTTGGTTTGGTTTGGTTTGATCTCTCTGCTGTTTGATTGGGCATTAAAACCACATTCCTTCCCCACGAAGGAGGTTAAAACCACAAAGAGGACGAAAGCAAACAAAACCCTAGCAAGCCACTGCCACATTCCTTCCCCATGAAGGAGGACTTGTTGGCCGAGGAATGCAGGGCACGGTCGCTGAAAGGGTCTGGGAGAGGCAAAGAGGCTGCGGGTCATGCTCTCTGAGCCAGGATGTCAGTTCATCTAAAGTTTGCTTAGTGGGGAATTATAAAAGCTCTTCAGGCAGCGATCCATCCGCACGCGGGGAGAACATGCTTCGTTTGCGCTGCGTGGCGGCAGCCAGGCAGGTCTGTGGCGCGCTCGAGTGCTACCTGAGAGCGAGGCTCAAATGAGTCAAATGAATGCTCCTGATTCTTCAGGGCCTCACTTGTTGCCCCGTCCTCCTGGAAGCCACCCAGCTCCTCCCAATCAGAATCCGTCCTTGCTCCCCTGTGGCTGGAGCCACTCACAGCACTGAGTCATGCTGAGGTGTACGTGGGCCTGGCTCTCCCACGCTGTGTGTCCCTGGGGAGCAGGGAGGGGTTGGGGTCTGCCGCAGCCACAGTCGCCAGGGCTGCAGTCTCCGGGGCTTGGGGGGCCAAGAGTTCTAGAGACAGCAAGACGTGCAGCCGTGAGCTCAGCCAGCTGCCCAGGGAGACGGCCTTGAGGTGACAGTGGAGGACGTAAAGAGAGGGGTGTGTACACCAAAACTGAATGGGCAGGGGGCCACCTGTGTGGGCTGTGGACCACAGACTCGAGCCATTTAGAATGTCCTTGCTCCTGGGCGTTATTGCTTGGCAAGCAAGAAATACCAGGCTGGCCCGCAGCTTGGCATATGGAGGTTCCCGCACTAGAAGGCCAAGGAGAAATGCGTGATGTCTGACAACCTGCCTGCTGGGTGGCTCCTGCGGTCACCCTTGGGGAGGATGGCCAGGCCCTTCTGGGCTGTCCCGGCCCTGCCCTGCCCCCTGCATCTCCTTCCCACTCCAGGGCCGGGCCGCCAGAGCCTCCCTCCGCGCCCAGGCTTCCCGCACAACGGCGCCTGCAAGTGTGAATAAGGGACAACATTCTCTTCGTCTGGGGCTGTTATGAGATGAAAACCAATGGATAAACATCAACTGCTAAGGCTAGTGACCAGGACCTCATAGCATTCTGAGAAAATCTAGCTGTTCTTACTGTTTTCTTACCATCTGCTGAGAGGGGTTCTGTATTTCCCACCAACAGGAAGGACTGTTGGCTGTGACCTAGGCCCTAACTCCCTGGTCACACTTCCACACATTCAGTGGGGGCCCAAGGAGGGCCTCTGTTACCCAAGGCCGGTTACCTCCAAGTGGGCAGTCAGTCAGGGCCACATCTGGGGATCCCAGTGTCTCTAGCAAGGATCCCACAGATGATGCGGCCGAGCTTAGGGCATCAATGGATGGCAGGGTGAGCCCTGAGGAGGAACACAGGCCGGGAGTCACGCAGTGGTCAGAGGAAGGGGGTGTTCCCTTCCCCCAATCCATGCTACGCTAGTTGTGCTGGAGGGGCTAGAGGACCCCTGGGTGTCCACCCCGGGGAAAGAAAGAGGTAAATGGTGGATATGCACGCGATCACTTTGCAGCGGTGGAAGGAAGGATTGGAGGCTCACCCGGTGACACAGACAGATGTCAAAAACATAGTTTTGCATGCAAAGAAAAGCAATAGAATGAGATAGGCAACCCACTATTCTGTAAGTAAATAAAAACATCCAAACAGAAAATAACCATTTTGCAAGAATATATATGAAAAACAGGTACACACTAAACATATTAGGCTGATTTTGGGGGGTGGGGGCAAAAGAGAAGATAAACAGCAAAATAAAGAAATAAAACCCAGGAGGGTGCCCCCATGAACTAACAAAGAAAATAGGAGCAAACTGAAGAATTTTGTTAAAATCCACGTGCTGGACCTGAGACCCAACATTATAAACTGCTGCAAAATGGCTGGCTGGGCGCACAGGTGAAAACGAAAGGCAGTGAACTCTGGTGGTGAATCAGGGGAAAGGAGGGCCAGGGAACAGGAGCCAGCAAGGTCCCTGCCGTCTGGGCTGGGAGGACGGGGTCCAGGCCACCTGAGCATCCTCTCCTGCCACCACGCCCCACCCTGTCCCTGCCAGGTCCTGCCTCTCTGCGGCCCTCCTCTGAGAGAGAACCAGGACAGACACCCAGGGCAGGATAGACGCCCAGGGCAGGACAGGGCAGGGGAGAGAGGTTGCAGGTGAGGAAGCCACCCTCTCTTTCCCCACAGGTCCCTGAGCAGGACTCTCCCTGTGCCCTCTCTCTCCGGCCGCCTCCTCAACCCCCCACCGGTGCCCCCAGGAGCACTCACCCGCTGGGATCAGTCCGGACAGGACACCGCTCGAGGCTGCCGCCGCGCCAGCTTTGGCCAGGCTCACTGAGGACATTACCTTGGTGAGGGTAGAGGCTAGGACCGCTTCCATGGCGCACAGAACAACAGACACCCAGTGGAACTAAACCTGCAGGGAGGGTGGAGCTCTGATGGAGGATGGGGATGCTGTCCCTGGGTTCCCCCTGTTCCTCCCCCCGCCCCTCCCCCATCTCACAAGGCGTCCCAGTTGGGGAGAGAGAAGCTTCCTGGAGCTTGCAGGGCAGCTGGCCTGGAAAGGGTCCAGGTGTGGGTGTTGGAGTTATGAAAGGACCTGAATGTGGGAGGTGGGGTGGAGGTGGGTTTATTTCCCCAGGGAGGCTGTTCCTTCCTCCTGAAAAAATGCCAGCATCAGCTCCTTAGGCGTTTTTGGAAGTCCCTCAGATCTCTGCACAGCAACTTAAAAAGTACCAGAATGAGAAACACTTCCCTTTCCCAGATTCCTTGGGGCTCCTGCTCTGATGCAACCTCCTCACTAACACAATGATGAAGAAGAGATCATCATCTCCCTTGTAGAAATGAGAAAACACTGTCTGGCACAGAGAGGGTGAGCCGTTCACCCAAGGTCACAAGACTTTGTCAATAAGCCACCTGCCCCAGGTCCAGCTGCTTCCAAAGCCCTGGCCTGAAACGGCTGTGCTCTGGTCGCCCTAACCCTAATTGGTCTCTTCCCCGAGCCTACCTCACCCCCACCAGGAATGGACCAGGCTCTTTGTCCCGAGTCCCAGAGCCCAGGGGCTGGTAGGGGCTCCAGTCCCTTCCCTCCGGAGACCACTTTCTCTGACAGCAGATGCCCTGACAGGAAACAGAACATTCTGTGAGCAGGTCCACATGGGTCTGCCCTCTACTCCCAGAGCGCACTGCCGCCCCCGGCTGGGGCCCCGGGAGAGGAGAAGCCCCTGCCGCCCGCCTGCCCCTTGGGTGTTACCTGGAGAGGAGGGTTTTCTGAACCGTGAAACTGAGCCTGGGGACTGTTTTATGGGCAACACTTGGGAGGTGTGGCTTTGGGTGCTTTGGAGCAGTCCCACCCCTCAGAGTTGCAAGCAGCAATCACAGTAGGTTTCATTTTACAGGAAACTGAAACTACAGCCATATTGTCCTCCTTTTCCAGTCAACGGAAAATTCTAATTATAGAGACAGAACCTGGCCACTGTATCTACCACTGTCAGTTAATGGAAGACACTTTGTCATTTAAATTGGGGATGGAGTGTCCTCTCTCTGCATGATAAGGATCATAAGAAATCTGATCAAAGTTATATTATAAAAGGATAAATATTAATTTCTAATAGAGACAAAAAGGAGGTTTTCAGAATAGCCTTAGTCCAGGGGTGTCCAACATTTTGGCATCTCTGGGCCACATTGGAAGAAGAGTTGTCTTGGGCCACACATTAAATACACAAACACTAATGAAAACTGATGAGCAAAACAAAGGTTTCGAGTAAATTTATGATTTTGTGTTGGGCCGTATTCATAGCCATCCTGGGCCACATGCGGCCCGTGGGCTGTGGGTTGGACACCTCGGCTTGTAATGGACACATTGCTCAGTTATTCCAAAAATCTATACTGAAGGCCCACCATCCTAGACATGGATCTAGGCACTGAGGTTGAGCAAGGACGAAACTAGTCCAAAATATGTGTCCTCGTGGAGTTTACACACGGTAAGGGGACATAAGATAAATAACTGAATATACAGTGTATGGTTTGGAGACGTATTAAATCAAAAGGAGGCAGAGGAGGAAAGTCGTTCCAGGTAGAAGGAACAAGATGGCAAGGAGTGCGGGTGTGAGAGGAGGCGGGGACAGGAAGTAGGGTCAGAGGTTAAAAGGGAGCCAGGCTATGTGAGGCCTCACCAGCCACTGCAAGGACTCGATCCTGCTCTCTGAGTGAGATGGGAAACTAGCGCAGGGCCTGACACAGAGAGATGACGGCATCGGGTTCGCTGTGGCTACTACGTTGAGAATAGACTGAAAAGAAATGTCTGTGATTTAAATTCAAGTATTGAGTGTGAGTAGGTGATACAAACCTGTCACTTTCATTAGTTTAGCTGCACTCAGATGGTGCTCTGTAGCCCTGCTCAGGAATCCACACACCTCCCACCTGCTACTTTCAACACCAGAGAATTTGCTAATTCACGTAGTGAGTGAGTGAGTGAGTGTGTGTGTGTGGCGTCATCAGTCTTAACGTCCTAACAACATGATTCTGTGGGGGTGTTCACAAGGGAAGCCGAGGCTTTAAACACTTCTGGATGGAAGGGCAAATGACCAGCATGTGGGTGTGGTTTTTTCACCCACAAATTCTACGGAGTGTCAAGAGTAAATTCAGCTTCTAAATCTTCTACCACCATCTCCTCCCAGCTCACCCTCAGAGGATCACTTCTTATTTTATCAAGAAGTTACATGCAGTGAGAGAAGAATTCTGTTTGCAATGTCAGCTCCACCAACCCCCAGCATCTGTATCCATCGACCCTGCCTTCCGTCCATTGCTCTTTGTACACTAGCCCAGCTCCTTCAGTGTGATGCCCTGTTCCTACTCAAAGACTTAGCCCTTGCAACTATCCAGGATCGGTCCTGCATTCCTGAGAACCAGAGCTGAGCTTGGGCGTGGTCCTGGAGAGTCTGGTGCTGGTGTTCAAAGCAGCTCCACCCGGAAGGAAGCACAGCCCAGGGCAGGCAGCAGCAAATGAGGTAGAATCTGTTTTTCCAAGGAACCGAAACCACAAACATTTTTCTCCTCTTTGTCCATCAAGGGAAAAACTCTAGTTATGACAGAGATTATAGAGGTCAACTCTTTAATCACTTTCTGACCCCCAAGCTCTACCAACTGCCATGTCACTTCTCTGCTGCCATCCCAGCAAACTGTTCAAAGAGACGTGCTCTCCTCTCTCTTACCTTGCAGGTGCTCTTAAAATATGCCCTGTTTATAATAGCAAATATTTTCAGGCATCCTGTCGTGAGCAGATGTTCATGATACAGTCTTTCCTATATGTCAGCCGGGCAACGGCTCGGCTCGCTGCCTGCTGAGCAGCCCAGCACCAAGGAATAGACAAGAGTCACACAAGGTAACTATGCCAGTCACCCAGCTTTTGTTGAATGTAGGTTCACTCAAAGTAGAACATCAGCACATAAATATCCTACTCACACTCTAACAGTCTAGGAGAAATATAACACACACACAGCAATCAATGGGGGATTACAAACCTGAGTCCCTGAGTCTCAGTCTGCAGGCCCTGGAGACAGCACGGTGGGCAAGGGAGCCGTCAGCGTCTTGCAAGGAAGGCCCTCCGGAGCCAGGTGGGCAGCAGGGCAGGCAACGTCCTCAGTCCAGCAGGGCAGAGCCTCCAGCGGCTGACGCCAACATAGATGAGCGTGGTGTAGAGCGGCACTCTGGTGTCTCCGAGGTGGTCCAGAGCCTGCCTCAGTTATACCTTGAAAGTGGTGCACTCCACCCTTCTGGGTCCCTTGGCACGTCTGATGGCACATACAGACTTTCCCCTGGAGCCTATCTATGGGTGGTCCCGCTCTGCAGACATGGCTGTTCTGACCACATGTGCAGATATCTTAGGTGTGTCTCCTTGCCAGATGTGTCTGCTCTGTCAAGAGTTTCCCTCTTGAACCAAAGTGTCATGACTAACTGGCAGCCATCTTGGTTGACATGAGTGACTCCCCTTTGTTTTATATATTTTATCCTGTCTTGACTGGACCAATGCCGATTTATTGATCCTGCTCTCCATACATCCAAAAAGCTATAGATAGTAATACAACAAACACTTATTTGCCTGCCACTCAGCTCAAGAACTCAAAGGATACAGATACAATGAACATGACCTGAGAATCCCTTCCAATCTCCTCTCCCTGCCTCCCGCCCAACAGGTAACCCCTCTCCAGAATATATGCTTAATCATTCCCATGTATGGCCTTATACTTTTACCATGGATAAATGCTAAATGCAGAACTTCCCTGGCAACCATGAAATGTCCATCAGTGTTTCAGCTCAGGTTCAAAGGCAGGGAGCAGTATAATCATGTGCCAAGAACATTTACTTCCTAACCTTTGTTGAGAGGTTATGCTAAGAAACTGTACTAGTTTAAAAAAAAAAAGTAAAGAAATTATGCCCTGGCTGGTGTGGTTCAATGGATTGAGCACTGGCTTGTAAAACAAAAGGTCACCTGTTCGACTCCCGGTCAGCACACATACTTGGGTTGCAGGTTGGGGATGTGCGAGAGGCAACAAGCCCATCGATGTTTCTCTTGCACATCACTGTTTCTCTCCCTCTTTTTCTCCCTCCCTTCCCCTCTCTCTAAAAATAAATAAATAAAATCTCTAAAATGATTTTTAGAAAATAGAGGATTTAATTAGAGAATGTAGAGGAAGGGAAGAGAAAGGGAGACAGAACGAGACAGAAAACAGAGAGCGAAAGAGAATTGGTGGACTGTTCTTTCCCAAACCCCCCGAGGGAGAGGAGGGAAAGTGGTCTGCCCAGCTGGACCTCAGCAGGACCCCCTTGGGAGGCTTGACATGAATCCCTTGGAGTTTGAGGGAAGCAAGGCAGGTGTCTGAGCTGGGCCTGAAGTCTAAAGGCAGAAGACTGTGCCTTACAGAAGATCAAGGGAACCCAGGAGGGGTGGATTGTCAGAGAGCAGCAGCCAGGACAGAACTGGAGGTGTTCAGTCAGGGAAGGCTCCCCTTTGTCAAGGACCTTGCAGTGAGTGACCCCTGCTGCAAGGAGGACACAATAGCCTGCAAAGGAAGTGTGCAATACGAACCTTCCCCAACCGAGACGTCAGCAAACTCTCTGGTCCGAGCACTTGCTCTGGAGTTGCATACATTAAGTATTTTAATCCTCACAACCACCACATGAAGAGGTACTATTAGCCCCATTTTACAGATGCACTAATGAGTCACACAGAGGGTTCTCTGGACCCTTCCTCTTTCCCTGATACCCCCACCTTCCACCCCTGCATCCACCAGCTCCTTCTTCATGGGGTCTCCACACCTAGGCCAGCCCGATTGCCTTTCCCAGCTACCATGCCACCCTCGAAGTGTCGCTTCCTCAGGCCGCCCGGCTCCAGTAGTCCCTCCTCTGCCCACTCATTGCAGACCTGCAGCCCCAGACAGACTGCACCAGGCAACAACACCCCTCCCCGCTGGGGCGTCAAGAGAAGAACCAAGAAGCACCTAGAGTTCTCTGTACTTTTAACAGTAACAGAGGTCTCTGTACTATTAACCCGTGCGTCACAGCCCTCAGAGCTGGAATGGCCACTCAACAAATATTTGCTGAACGAATTCCATTTACGGCATGTCTCCCAGTGAACCCCAAGCCCTCCCTTACAAAGGCTGGATACGGGTACTAGGTGCTGGTAGTCACAGGGCGTAAGAGCTGCAGTCTTACAGCAATCCCCGAAGGGGCATGGCCAGCAGCTCTCTTTGGAAGTGGGGTCCTTGTCCCCCACTGTTCTCAGCTTTGACGTCTAAGCTGTGATTTCTCCAAAACACAGAACTTTTAAAAACATCTAGTTATGCCAGCATTAGTAAAATAGGGAAAAGGTTAAATAAAATGGGGTGTATTATGACCATGGAATATTAAGCAGTAATTAAAATAATGAAAAAGATTTAGACTAGAAAAAAGCCAGCTGCAGAACAGTATGTAGGAGGTACATCAATGAAATTCTATCAATAAAAAGGCATAAAACAGCACTATATAAAATGTTTTCTGTAGAGATCTACTGTATCTTTTGTCACCGACCTACAATTCTTTCTTTCTATCTATCTATCTATCAATCATCTATCCATAGAAATCACTTTAAAAGGGCATGGAAAGTACTCATCGAACTGTAGCAGTGTTTACATCTGGCAGTGAGGGACTGCTAATTGAGAAAGACAGTTATTAGATCCAAAGACTCTTTAACCTTATCTGTAGCAATTCAGATTTTTAAGAGCAGAATGTCTTTGAATATTTCTTAGATAATTTTTTTTAAATGAACTTGATCTTTCAGAGCAGTTTTAGGTTCACAAAATTCAGGTTCGTAACAGTTTTCCCCTCTACTCCCCACCCCACCCCCCATATGTAAAGCCTCCCTCATTATCAACCTCTCCCACTTCAGGGAATTTAAATGCATTTCGATGTTGGTTTTCATTATAAAATGTTACAATCCCATTTCGTAAAGTTAAAAAATAAAAGGACAAAAACCTACTGACGGCCTGCCTCCAGAGCCACCAATCTCTCCGAATCGCTGAGACGGCAGGAGCGGCTGAAGACAGAGAGATGCAGGCTGCCTGCCCAGGGCCGCGCCTGGTTCCCAAGGGCCCTTGGAGGCCTCGCCTCACCTCAGAGGACAGCCCTCCTGCTGTCTCTGGAGGCCAGTCACTGTCCTCGTCCACGCCTGGTGCTCCTTCGAGCAGGAGCCTACTTCTCAGGTATGGGGAGTCCCTGCCTCGACCTTGGGCTGGTCCAGGCCTTGGGCTCTCCCCGCAGCCTCCGAAGGTGAGCCCAGAACGACTGAAACCAATACTCACATCTCATCTTTGGGCCGAAGTAATCAGGGTTGAGTTGCTGAATCAAACCTTGACTGAAGCCTGCTTACTTTTGTCTTTCCCCTTCAGGAAGCCAATGAAGTCCCTTGAACTCAAGCCAGCTGTAGTCAAGTTTCTATTACTTATAACTACATGATCTTAACTAAAATGGCACCTCCTCCAGGAAGCCTTCCCAAATAGCTACAATTAGAATTAATCTCTACTTTCTCTGCCCTCTACACCATATAGCTTGACCCTCTTAATGTGTTGCACATATTGTGTTATCAATTTAGCTACTGATGAGGAACAATCAGCCACAAAATTTTGTGACTTAAAAATATTTTATTCATGATTCAGTGGGCCAGCAACTTAGGCAGGTGGTTCTTCCAGTCTCTGCTGGACTACCCCATCCATGCAGTGAGCTCTGGGCTGACTTTTAGGACCTCAGCGGGACTCCCGCCTGTGTACAGGGCCTCGCCTGCAACCCAGGGGTTGATTCCAGTAAAGGAAGGACAGGGGCGGGGGCCAGAGCGGGGACCTGCGCTGGGACCTGCGCTGAGGCCCTGGAGCCTGCAGGCTGAGATCTGAGACTCAAGCCTCAGGGGGAAAAGGCCTTCCAGAAGCGGGGCGTGGGTCACCTGCGTGGCAGGCAGGTGGCTGATGCCAGGTCACTGCACACAGAACACCCGACACACGAGCCAGGGCCAGGCACACCGTGGGCCTCGGGAAGTAGGCGGTCTCTGCTGGCCCACCTCTTGGGAGCCCTCCAGGGGAGGGGGTCGTGTCTGTCCTTGCAGGTGCCGGCCAGGCCCTTCTGGGGGCTGACAGCCCCGGCCTCCAGACCAAGGACAGAGCTCCCTGCAAAAGTGTAATGTCTCCACTTACCCAGAGAGGCCCAGGGGCCACCAGGCCAGGCAGACACAATGTCCCTGAACTTTAGAGCAGCAATTTTCAACCAGTGTGTTGCAAGAATTATTTTAAAGTGAATCTATTGGGGCGACATTTGTAATTATATAGGTTTCAGGTATACAATTACATAATACATAATCTGTATATTGTATTGTGTGTTCTCTACCCCAAGTCAAGTCTCCCTTAAGAATTTTTAAAACATGTGCCCTGGCTGGTGTGGCTCAGTGGATTGAGTGCCGGCCTGTGAACCACAGGTTGTTGGTTCGATTCCCAGTCAGGGCACATGTCTGGGTTGTGGGCCAGGTCCCTGGTAGGGGGCGTGCGAAAGGCAACCACACATTGATTTTTCTCCCTCCTTTCCCATCTGTCTAAAAATAAACAGATAAAATCTTAAAAAAAAAAATAATAATAATTTTTAAAACGTGCAATGCCTGACTCCTTACTCAGGGGCCCTGACCTCTTTTCCCTCAGACTGGTAAATAAAAAAATGACAAGCCAACAAAACAATAGCCATCTGGTGTGAGTGAATCAAAATTATACCTAATTATTTTTTTTTTATTAGATTGGCAAAAAATTCTTCTTTTGGTGTGCCGCAGAATTTTAGTAATTAGTTATGTGTGCCGTGAGATGAAAAGGTTGAAACTCGCTGCTCTGGAGCCATGACGCAGCCAGACCCTGAGTCTGGGGTGGGAAATGGAGGGGTCGCTGATGCCTGAGGATAAACAGCTTAGTACCTGAGGGTCAAGGGCTCAAACAGTGACCCCAGAGCCGAGCCATCCTATCATCCTATCAGATCAATGGCCCCAGCTGAGATCTTTGAAGACACTTGGTTCAAGCCCCCATTTGAAGAGCAGTAAACTGAGGTTTAAAGGGGAGACGTGACGTTCTCAGGGTCACAAGTGAGTGGCTGGACTGGGAACACCAGTGGCTCCTAGTCATGGGGGCTATCGGTGCTTGTTCCTGCCGAGTTCCCGCTGGCTTGCCCTGCCCTGTCCATGAGAACGCAGTGCAGACGCCAGGCGAACTCATGGCATCTCGTCTTCATTTCTCGTCCTTCTCGGAACAGTTTTGGGAGGCAGGGGGCTTGTCTTTGGGGGGTTTGCCATCCTGAGAGTCACCTCCACTGGGTCCACCTGGAGGAGAGGAAGGGTCTGCCTTTTTGGAATACCCCATCCAGGCTCCAAAAAATGACCCAGTCATGCCCAGAAGGACATTGGATGACGCGGAGAGTCCAGCTGCCCCTGGGGAAGAAGAGAGGTTGACAGCACATGGGGAGAGGCAGCTCCCGCAGCTCCTGGCAAGGGTGTGGGGTCAGAGATCCCAGGGGCCCTCAAGAGGCCACAGTCCCTGACGTCACAAGCCCGCTCCCTCCCCTGCTTCCTAAAACCCCAGGACGCCTGCTTTGGGGAGAGGCTGCTCAGGGAGGACACCTGAAGTCTGGTGGCGAGTCCACCAGTGACAGAGGGGAGACCCTCTGAGAAATGGCAGGCACTTCACCTCCCACAGGACTAGGCTGGGGCTGCAAGAGGGGAGGGGGCCTACCCAGCTTTTCTAGGGTTGACTGGGGATGCAGACCTGCCAGGCTGTACCCCGACCCATCCCCCAACCCCCAGCCAAAAGAGGGAACAGAGAGGGAAAGACAAAGGGCCAGGGGCACCGAGGACCTCCGAACTGGAGGGAGAGGACAGGTCCTCCCCGATCCCGACCCTCCGCCTCCTCCTCCCGCTCAGGACACTTACCCACGGACTGCAGAGTGGCCACCAGGGTACCGGCGGCAACCCCGCCCCCGTTGGCGATGGCGGCCGATGACATCATCTTAGCCGCTATGGAGGAGGCTGCGATTCCTGCCCCAGTGAAGCCCATGGCGCCCAGCACGACGGGCACAGCGCCCACGGCCACCACTGCAGGGAAGAGGAATTTGAGGTTGGCCCCAGGGGACAGACTCCCTCAGATCTCCCCAACTTCTTCCTGGGGGATAAACTGGGGATCTGCTTTGCCCTTGAGTCACAGAGCCAGGACAAGGACCCCACACAAAGGAAGGCTGTAGATGTGGGCACAAGCAAGTGGACAGACTCCCCGGAGAACTGGATCCCAGGCCTGTCTGGACACCTGAGACCCCGGGGTTCGCGGCCCTGGGCCTCAGCTGCCCCAGTGGACAATGAATTAGGCTGAAAGGAGCAGTGGTCTTCAAGCTTCTCGCTTTGGCAGGGAAAACAGTGTCCCTCCCCCAAGCAAAAGATAACACCAGAGCTGCTCTTTTGAAGGGGTGATGGGTGGGGGCTTCTGCCTGCTGCCCCTCAGAGCCCTGCAGCAGTGTGTATGTCGGGGGCTCTTCCCTCCTCCCTTACATCTCCTGAGCATAACAGTCGCAGAACGTTCTTCAACGACAAAAATGCTGTGCACCTGCTCTGCCCAATACTGTAGCCACATGTGGCTGCTGAGCATTGAGATGTGGCTCGTGTGACAGAAACGTTTTTGTTTTCTTTAATTCTGGCCACAGTACTGGAGGATGCTGCTCTAGAGCACAGCTGGAAACCTCTGGGCTCCCGAGTGTGCTACCAGGTTTGCAGAGCAGCTGCTGGGAACCAGACATAGCTCGGCTTACATACTGCCAAAAGCAGTATGTCAGAGGACCCAGCGGCCCGCTTTCTGGGGACAGATCTCACAGCTTGCCCAGGATCAGAGGTTTATACTTGGGGCTCAAGGGAATCCTGGGCTTGGTCAAGGGAGGTTTCTCCCAGAGGCCTAGGGCCAGGGGCAGATGGGGGCTTGAGCTCCTTCCTGGAGAGACTCACCTCCTCCGGTCGCAGCCAACACAGCCATTTCTGGAGACAGAAAGAATATGCGTGAGCGCACAGCACAGGCCCCCCTCCCCAGCCCCGCCCCATTTCCCGCTGCTGCCCGCCCCACCGTGGGAAGGTGCTCTGGAGCTGAGTCGGAGGAGAGAACAGCCCCTGCTGCTCTTCTAAGAAGTCTAATTTTACTGAGCAGGCAGAGGTGGACACAGGATGTCCAGAGCTCTGAGAAGCTCTGGAGGGGGGAGGGCACCGCCTTCACAAGGCTCTACCCTGCTCTTTGAAGGCAATATCTTTTGGCATCATTTTCTTAAAAAAAAAAAAAAAGGCAAGGAAAGCATGCTGTTTTTATTTGCAGCAGGATAAATTGAACTCTGTTTCCTCCCTCTTCCACAAAATCGATGCCCGTCCCAGGCCACAGGTTGAATGAAGGCCCTCCATCCTCCAGGGCTCAGCCCGCTTGTCACCTTCTGCAGGACGCATCCCCAATTCCCCCATCCGAAGTCACCCTGCTTCCTGTGCGTGTCCTGCCTGGTGGCAGGAGCCCCTTGTGGCGCTGGGCAGAGCACACCTGCACTGCAGCAAACCGCTCAGAGTGCCTGGGCCCGGCAGGGGCCTCTGCCAGGGACCGGGACTGCAGTGTCCGGGCAGCTGAGACCAGGAGTTCTGGGGGTTTGGGGGCGTGCAGGAGTGAGCTCAGCCAGCTCCCCTCAAGGAGGAGTCCTGGTCCCAGCCATGGGAGAGAAGGTGCAGAATCAGCCTCCGAACTCCTAGGCACGTCCAATCAGTTCTTAGATCGTAGCTCCTGGCTCGTCATCGCCCGTCTCTCTACTCCTGACCTGCCCCGGTGATTTCCATTTCAGCATAGGTGATATTTCCAACAAACTCACTTCCAAAATATCTTTGTCTCTATACCCCAGAGTCATACGCTAGGCCCATGCTGCCCACTAGGGCAACCTCTAGCCATATGTGGCTATTAAACTCTTAAGCACTTAAAATAAAATTAAATGAAAAACTCAGGTCCTCAGTTGCGCTAGCTACATCTCCTATGCTCAAACGTCACACGTGGCTGACGGATGGTGCAGAGAATGTGCTCATTATTACAGAAGGTTCTGTTGGATGGTGCTGCCCTAGAACTTGTTATTAACAAGAACTGCCCCCTGCCTATTGCCAGCATCCAGCAGCCCCCAGAGACCCTCACCTCTTCCCTTTGCAGAATCTGATTCTAACGCAGGCTTGAACAATCCTTCACACTGGCATTTCCAATGTCTGTGTTAGTTTTCTGTAGCTCCTGTAACCAGTTCCCACCAACTGGGTGTTTAGTCTCTCGTGTTCCAGTCCTGGAGGCTAGACGTCTGTGTTTAAGGTGTCAGCAGGGCTGTTCTCTCTCTGAAGGCTCTAAGGGAGGTTCCTCCTCTGCTTCTCCTTTGCTTGTAGTGGCTGCCAGCAGTCCTTGGCTTGTGGCTGCATCACTCCCATCTCTGTCTCTGTCTTCACATGGCTTTCTCCCTGTGTCTCCTCCCTTCCCAGGACACATGTCATACCCTACTCCAATATGACCTCATCTCCACTTACATCAATTTAAAAATATTTTAATGCGCCCTGGCTGGTGTGGCTCAGTGGATTGACTGCCAGCCTGCGAACCAAAGGGTCGCCGGTTCAATTCCCAGTCAGGGCACATGCCTGGGTTGCAGGCCAGCTTCCCAGTGGGGGGAACAAGAGAGGCAACCACACACTGATGTTTCTCTCCCTCTCTTTCTCCTTTCCATCTCCTCTCTCTAAAAATAAATAAAGTCTTTAACAAATATTTTAATGCGGTTTCAATGCTAATTACTACTTTTTATTTATTGATAAGATAGAAAGAAGAAGGGAGAGAAAGAGGGAGGAAGGGAGATAGACATCGATTCCACATTCCACTCACTTATGTGTTCATTGGTTGTTGCTTGCATGTGCCCCGACCAGGATTCAAGCCACAACCTTGGCCTATCAGGACCACACGCTAATCAACTGAGCTACCCGTCTTGGACCTCAGTTGACATCTTTATCACACCTACAGTCACATGCACAAGTACTGAGGATTAAGATTGTATGTATTGCTTTGAGAGGACTCAGTATAACCCACAACACTGTCCCTCATTCATCCCACATCCTCCATGCCCTCTTCGCCCACGTAGAGTCCATCCATACCCTCTCATCCTAAGTGCCCCCTGCAGACCTCAATGCTCTCCCCTCCTCTTCCTCTCCTGTGCTCAACCTCACCATGTCTCCCTGTTCTCTTCATTCCCCTACTCTGTGGGAACACCCAGCATACACAGCTCCTCCCTGATCTTCAAGCCTACCGCCCCTCCGCCCTCTTGCTTCCCCCAGCTTCCTATTTCACCAAGAAAACCAAGGCAACCAGAAGACAGCTTCTGCATGCTCCCTTCCATCACCAAGTCTACTGCCCCCACCTCCACCCCCTCACTCCTCTTGCCCTCCTGCTTCTGTGTGGAGCTGCGCCTGCTCCTGGCCACCTGTGCGTTGGGCTCGCCTGCTCTCTCCGACTCGCGGACATGCACCCACAGTGCTCCTCCCTTGCTTCTGCAACATCAGTCTCCCTCTGCGCCGGGCCATTCCCAAGAGCAGCCACTCGGCTCTACCACCCCCTAGATGAAAAACAAAGGCAGCCTCTCCCTCTGTAGCACATCTTCCTTCAGGTGCCGCCTCACTTGGGTCCACTCCTTATGGCAAAGCTCCGTGACATAGTTTTCTATGTGGAGGGAGAGGCTGTATGGCACAGTGATTAGGCACCTGGCTGTGTGCAGACGAAGACAGACTGGAGTGACGCAGCCACAAACCCAGGGACATCCAGGATTTCTGACAGCCACCAGAAGCTAGGAGAGGCATGGGACAGGTTCTCCCCTTGAGGCTTCAGAGGAAGCATGACCCTGTGGACATCTTGATTTGGGATTTCCAGCCTCTAGAGCCGTGGGAGAGTACATTTCTAGTGTTTTAAGCCATTATGTTTGTTTATGGCTGCCCTAGGAAACATTTTCCTCCCCTAGTCTTCAGGCATCATCTTTTCCCTCGTCTCTTCCTCCCTCCCTTCCCCCTCCTTCTCAGTTCCCTCTCCTCCCATCCCGCTGATCTCTGACGGCGGCACGTCCAGGGCTCAGTCCTCAGAACGCTGCTCTGCTTCAGCTCCACCGCTCGGCTGTCCTCGCCCCGCCCCGCGATCTCAGGGCCCCCTGCATTCTGATATGCCCAGCCCAGACCTACTCAGCAGCTCCACATGGGCGTCTGAGAAGCACCTCAGACGTGACTCGCTGCAAGCGGGACTCACCTCCCCTTCCACAGCTGTTCCTCCAGTGGTCGTTCAGCCTCAGTGAAAGGCAGCCCCAGGCTTGTGGCAGCCCAGCACATGCAGCCAGGGGTCGATTCTCCCATTTCCCTCTCTGCACACCAGCCTACCCGCAAGTCCTCTGATTAACCTTCAGAAACATCCAGGCTGACCGTTCTTACCTCGCACATCACGAGCCAGGTCACCATCAGGGTTTCTGCAGTGGCTTCCCCACTGTCCCCGACCCGTGCGCCGGCCCCCGAGCTTCCGTTCAGCCCGGCACTGTCTCTCAGCAGCCAAAGTCGTGGAGCCATCTAGACTCCCCTCTTTTTATCTCACTCCACATCTAGTCTGTCAGCAACTCCTGCTGATTTCACCTTTAACAGGGGTCCAGAACCAGACCACCCCATCACCTCCACCACTGCGGCCCTGGACAGCATCACCTGCCGCTGTCCACGATCGGTACGTGGACATTACACAGGCTGAGACACATCTGCTCGCTGCTGGGGTACAGAGAAGAGCCCTGCTGTTGGAATCCCTCCCCGCCTCATCCGCTGCTGCCTCCCCAGTGCCAGGCACAGGGCCGTGAGCAGGGAGGTGCAGAGTGAGCATTTCGGAGAAAGCAATACGGACCAAGAGTGCACCTTTGTGCATCAAAGGACATGCTGCAGTCTGACTGTTGTATTCCCAACTCACAGGATGAAACCCAATGCTCAGTGGGATGGTGTTATGAGGTGGGACCCTTGGGAAGTGACTGGCTCATGAGGACAGAGGCCTCATGATCGGGATTAGTTCCCTTATAAAAGAGGCCCCAGAGACCCCCTTTGTTCCTTCCACCATGTGAGGTCACAGCAAACAGAAGTCTGTCTAGGAAGTGGGCTTTCACCAGACACTAATCTGCTGGTGCCTTGACCTTGGACTTCCCTCTCCAGAACTGTGAGAACTCAATTTCTGCTGTTTATAATCCACCAGGCTACGGCATTTTGTTATAGCAGCGCTAACTGACTAAGACAGGATACAATCAACAGAGTGGAAAAGCAACCTACAAATCATCTATCCGATAAGGAGCTAATATTCAGAACATATAAAAAATTCCTACAACAAAATACCCAAATAACCTAATCAAAAAATGGGCAAAGAATCTGAATAGACACCTCTCCAAAGAAAATATACAAATGGCCAACAAACATAGGAGAAGCTGCTCAGCATCCCTAATCATTAGGGAAATACAAATCAATACAAACCACAATAACATATCATTTCATACCCATTAGTATGGGTCTACTTAATAAAAACAACCATAAAATAACAAGTGTTGGCTGGGATGTGGAGAAAGTAGAACCCTATGCACTGCTGGTGAGAATGTAAAATGATGCAGCAGCTGAGGAAAACAGTGAGGCATTTCCTCAAGCGATTTAATAGAGTACCATGTGACTCAGCAATCCCGCTGCCGGGCAAATGCCCAAAGGAACCAAAAGCCGGGCCTTAAAGAGTTACCCGCACCCCACATTCCTAGCAGCACTACTCATAATAGCCAAGCAGTGTAAGCAATCCAAGTGTCCATAGGTGGATGAAAGGATAAACAAAACGTGGTGTCCGCATACAATGGAATATTGTTCGGCCTTAACGGTGGATGGAACTTCTGACACAGGGCGGAACATTCAGACGTTGTGCTCGGTGGAATACGCCAACCACAAAAAGGCAAATGCTGTGTGATTCCACTATGGAAATGAGAGGGTTCCTTGGAAAGCAACCTCACAGGGCCCTCTGACGCTAACTTCCTAACTGCGCGGGCCATGGCGGGCAGGCACGCCCAGGCCCTTAACCTCTGTGGTGAAAGGTTTCGAGCCGGTCGGGTTCTGGTGGAGCCAAGTTAACACACCTTCCAAATACCAGAATACCCCTGGAAGTGGGTATTAGCCCTCAGGAAAGCACCTAATCTGGCTAACTATCCTGAAATCCAGTCTCCACCTGGCTTTCTACAGTCTTCCTTTTGTCCCTTCCTTAACTTCAAATGCTCAAAATATGCTGAAAAAAAACTGTCATTCTCAGCAACATTTGAGAGCTTGCTTCCAGGCATATGTCATCAGTTTGGCCCATAAAATCTCGTAAAAATTCTCTACAGGTTTGGACATGTCTCATGTCAACACCACTCATATAAAACCCCTAGAGTAGTCAAATTCATAGAGACAGAGACAGAATGGCAGGGGCGAGGGGCGGTAGGGGGAGAGGGAACGGGAGTGAGTGTTGAATGTGTACAGAGTTTCGGCTTGGGGAGAGGAAGAATTCTGAAGACTGGTCACACAACAATGCAAATATACTTAACACTGTGGAATTGTGCGCTTAAAAATGGCTCAGTGGGCAAATGTTATGTTCCGTGTATTCTGCCACAATTTAAAAAAAGAGAAAGAGTGGACCTTTTGCTGCCCTGTCCCTGGACTGGCCCTATCTCAGAGGTAAGAGTGCCTTGCAAGAGTGTGTCCTGGGAGCAAGCTATGGACCACGTCCTGGTGCACCATGGGAGGAGTGCTGGAAGAAATGAAACTCACCCTGGCCCTGGGTGCTACGGGGCCAACAGGTGAGGGTGCTGGCAGTGGACTGCACCTGGCAAAGAGCCAGGCCTGCGCCTGTGCCCGCTAGCAGACCTTTGTGAAGAGCATAAGGCCACTGTACTTAGAAACAAACGGACTGAGGCTAACAGATGGCATGTGACTGGCTTGGGGTCACTCAGCAAGTCAGCCTCAGAGCCCCGACCTGAAGGGTAGTCCCTCTGTCTCGAGCACATCATTCACTTCCTCGCCCACGTACACCGTGCCCCTTTTCTGGCAATGTGGTGTCCTAGAGACTCCATCAGGGACAGGTGCCTTGCCTTAATGCTGACAACCTCGAAGGCTGAGCTGAGCAGCGAGGGAGGGGTGGGCCTGGGAGACTGGCACCCGGGGAGCACTTACTTGCATTGCGGGAGAAGTTCCCTCTCCCGCTTCCAGGCGGGTCTGTGGAGTCCGAGCCAGGTCCATCGGGCCCTGGCGGGGGCTCCTGCGGAGGCCCCCCAGGAGTAGAACCAGCGGAGGATGGCTGCAAGCTTTCTTTCTCCTCTGGAAAAGAGGCAGAGGGGGGAGCCCACAGTGGGTAGGCAGCCATGGGACCAAAGACTACTGCCCCAGGCCTCCGGGGGCGGGGGGGCGGTGCATGAGGGCCAGAGGCCGCACATGGCACCCTCTGCCATTTTTGGAAGCTCTCAAGAACTCTGATGTGGGGAGGGGACCTCAGCAGCAGCTGCACTGAGCAGCAATGGGAACGCTCAGCGATGAGCCCAAGGAAAAGGCAGAGAGAGGAGACCTGGCCACTGAGAGCTGGCAGTTCCTCCACTTCACAGAGGGGCGGGCTGAGGCCCAGGAGGGAAGAGACTTACTATTACAATGCACCTTACTGGTTAACTCCTGGCTGGAACCCAGACCCCTTGTGCCATGGGCCATGCACCCCAAGCCCTGGGCCACCTGGCCCCCTCAGGTCCTCCCAAGGGCACTCACCATCCAACTGAGGATCCTGCAGGAGGGCGTCCGCGGCAAATCCTTCCCCGTTCTCTATGGCTTTCGCTGACATCTTGGTGGACGTGTGGGAACACTAGGTGCACGGCCAACGGTCACCACTATCTTTCTCAGAAACAGAGTCTGAAAACCAAAGTGCCGTGCCTGGTTTGCAAGGGGCTAGGGGAGAACGTGGGCACCCCTCTGTTGCCCGGAGTCCTGCCCTCTGTTCTGCAGCAGTCTGCAGGCCGCTTCCAGCACATCCCCCAGATCGGCACAGACCCCTGCTTTTTAAGTTAATGACTTTGCCTGGCTCCCTGAAGTCCAGGGTTCTAGTCATCTCTGTCCCCAAACCACTGCCCCCTCCCCGGCCTAAGTCTTAGGGCTTGAGAGTAGCCTAGGCTGGAACAGACCAGTTGCTCCCAAAGTCTCAGGGTGAGTGTGGGCTCAAAGCCCTCCCCAGCACACTCGTCTCTGACCACAGCAACAGCAGCCCTGGATGGCAGCGAAGAGGGGTGAGGGCAGGGGAGTCTCTCCCCTGCCCACTTCCCAGGCCTCTGCCTACCTTGGCAAAGAATTGCCCGAGAAGGCAGAGCAGCGGGAAAAGTCCTGGGTGCAGTGAGGCTGCTGGGGTTTCCCGCAGGCTAAGTAGTCTCACCCTGGATGACGTGGAACCCTGAGGGTCAAATGGACCTGGTGAGTCATTCTCATTCGAGGCTTAGAGCTAAGTAGACCTCGCCTTTGTTTTGCAAATGCAAAGGTTGGGTAAGCGTGGGCAGGTCTTCAACACATTCCAACACACCCCAATATCTCATATGTAACACTCAACGTCTCCAATCCCCTTAAATGGTGGCTACCCAGACTGCACAGGCACAGGGTAAGGCTTGGGTTAAGTCACACACAATGTCCAAACAAACCAAGGCATAGATAGAATGCTCACTCACAGTGAGGGAGCCAGTATGATAAACTTGCCCATCTTTCACTAGTTGGGAGCACTGGTGCATGGCCCCAGACTCCTTCGGTGGTTACCTTCGGTGTTGTTCAGAGCACACAGGACAGGCTGCTACTGCATTAACCAAGTCACTGTATTTCAAGGGCAATTTGCCATCCCACTCAGGTAAGGCAGTGGCCGCTCTTTTACACATCCAATCAGCTGTATCTACTCAAGAGTCAGTTCCTAGGGCAGGTACTGGAACTAGGGCATCAGCTTCTTGATTGCAAGGGGTGTCGGTGACTTAGGAGCCGGGACATGGGAAACAGGACTGCCTCGGGTTCTTGCAGGTGGACCCAAATGTCTTTCCACATATTCTGATGCCACAAGGGCTTGCTCATGGCCAAGGACCCCTTCGCTTCCTGTTTTCCAAGCCACCGGGTTAAATCCCTTTAGAACAGCCCAGCACTCAAGGTAAGAGGCTAACAGCCACAGCGCACCCTCCAAGGCATGCAACTGGCCCAGAGGAGATGGGAATCTTCGTACTGCTGCGGAGGGACATGCAGCCCTTCCTCCTCACTCTGCCACTGGGGACAGCTCCAGTCTTGTCATCCAACTTCTTCAGGCACCATTAGGACACAGGCTCTGTGCCACCCAGACTCTTGGGGACACACTGGCAAAGTCCCGCAAGAAATGAGTTAAGTTCTGTCCCATGGTGGCTGCAAGGGGATAGGAAGGCTCACTTGACCTAAACTTGGTGATTTCCCCCATTTAAGGCAGGGGTCCCCAAACTCCAGGCCATGGACTGACACCAGTCTGTCGCCTGTTAGGAATGGGGCTGCACAGCAGGAGGTGAGTGGCAGGCAAGCGAGCAAAGCTTCCTCTGTATTTACAGCTGCTCCCCATCGCTGGCCTCACCGCCTGAGCTCCACCACCTGTCAGATCAGTGGAGGCATTAGATTGTCATAGGTGCGCGAACCCCACTGTGAACTGCGCATGCGAGGGATCTAGGCTGCGCGCTCCTCAGGAGGATCTAATGCCTGATGAGCTGACGTGGGGCTGAGGCGGTGATGCTAGTGCTGGGGGCGGCTGCAAATGCAGATTATCATTAGCAGAGGTTTGACTGCACAGAGACCATAATAAATCAGTTGCTTGCAGACTCATATCAAAACCCTGTCGGTGACTGGCAAGTTACAATTAAGCTGCATCTGGTGGCAGGCTTTAAGTCAGAAACCAACACCTGTTTTAGTCTGTGCGTGGCCCGCCCATTATTTTATTTACCACTTCTGTCCACACCTCTTTCCTACACTGCGCAATTGTCTCAGTCACAGTTTTGATAAGCCCACAAGCTAATCCTAACCAAAATGAGTAAAAAACAAACATTGCCGGAAAGCTTCTTTGAAAAGAGGGAAAGACCCAATAATGAGACAGCAGAAGACTTTAAGACTGCCAACAAAAAGAAAGCTGCATTTAAAGGAAATACCAAGAGAACTATTTAAAATATGGGTTCATTGCGACAGGTGATTCATTCTCCAAACCTGCGTTGTATGATGTGTGGCGACCAGCAAGCCAACAAAGTCATGAAACCTTCAAAACTGCTTCACCACATGGACACCAAACACCCTGCATTAAAAGACAAACATTTGGAGTTTTTCAAAAGAAAAAAACATGAACACAAACAGAAGCAATTACTGAAGGCTGTCACTTCATCAAATGTGTCTGCACTGAGAGCATCATTCTTAGTGGCTGACCGCATTGCTAAAGCTAAGAAGCCCTTTACCATTGGTGAAGAGTTGATTCTACCTGCTGCTAAGGACATTTGTCGTGAACCCTTAGGAAAGTCTACAGCTCCAAAGGTGGTATGTGTTCCTCTTTTGGCTAGCATCGTAAGTCAATGAATTGATGAAATGACAGAGGGTACTGAGGCACAATTGTTAGAGAGGGTTAATGAGTCCAGATTGTGTAAGATGCAATCTGGATGGACGAGTCTTGTTGTTGTGCAATTAATTTTTCAGGAGGGTATGTTATGTGCACTTTTGTTGCCAACCAACACCACAGCTGCAGAGCTATTCAAGTCTTCAAATGATTCCATATCAGGAAAACTGAGTCGGTCATTTTGTGTCAGTATATGTGCAAATGGAGCGGCTACCATGACTGGGTGGCTTTCTCGTTTTATTGCTCAGGTCAAACTCACTTCTGAGTGTGAGTTGATGCACTGTGTCATCCACAGAGAAATGCTGGCTAGCCGAAAAATGTCACCTGAACTTAATGTTTTGCAGGATGTAATTAGATGATCAACCACATGCCCTTAACTCACGTCTGTTCACGTGGCTCTGGGAGGAGATGAGCGCAGAGCACACAAGTCTTCTTTTACACACAGAAGTGAGATGGCTTTCCAAAGGCAGGTCTCTGGCCAGGGTTTTTGAGTTATGAGAGCCTCTCCAGAGATTTCTTTTAGAAAATCAGTCACCACTGGCAGCACATTTCAGTGGCACAGAATGGGTCACAAAACTTGCTTACTTGTGTGGCATATTCAACCTGCTCAACGAACTCAATCTGTCATTTCAGGGGAGAATGACAACTGTTCAAGTCAGCAGATAAAGTGGCTGCATTCAAAGACAAACTGGAATCATGGCAGCAATAAGTAAACACTGGGATTTTTGACATGTTCCAAACATTAGCAGAGATTCTGAAAGAGACTGATCCAGGGCCTCCTTTCTCCCAGCTGGTGCATGATCACCTATCTCAGCTTTCAAAAGAGTTTGAGCATTCCTTCCCAACCACAAAAGGCCCCCGAACTGCAAAGGAATGAATTCACAACCCATTTGTGAATAAGCCAGGTGGATCAACTTTACAGGTGCCTTTCAACATAGGCCACACCACTAAGACAGGGAGCAAAAGCAGCCCTACCTAATACACAGAGACAAACACAGGGAGGTCGCTAAATTGAGGAGACAAAGAAATGTTGCCCAAAGGAAAGAACAGAACAAAACCCAGAAAAAGAACTAAGCAAAATGGAGATAGCTGACCTATCAGATGCAGAGTTCAAAACACTGGTGATCAGGATGCTCAGAGAACTCCTTGAGTGTGGCAAAAAAATAAAGGAAGAAATGAAGGATATATTATGTGAAATAAAGAATAATCCACAGGAAACCAACAGAGAAGGGAAGGAAGCTGGGATTCAAATCAAATATTTGGAACATAAAGATGGATAAAAGTTCAACCAAAACTAAAAGAAGAAACAAATCTTAAAAAAATAAGGAGAGGCTTAGGAACCTCTGCGATATCTCCAAACATGCCAAATTCCAAATCATAGGGGTGCCAGAAGGAGAAAAGGAAGAACAAGAAATTGAAAACTTATTTGAAAAAATAATGAAAGAAAACTTCCCTAATTTGGTGAAAGAAATAGACATACAAGTCCAGGAAGCACAGAGAGTCCCAAACAAGTTGGACCCAAAGAGGACCACATAATTAAAATGCCAAAGGTTAAACATAAAGAGAGACTCTCAAATGCAGCAAGAAAAAGCAGAGTTACCTACAAAGGAGTTCCCTTAAGACTATCAGCTGATTTCTCAAAAGAAACTGCAGGCAAGAAGGGCCTGGCACTAAGTATTCAAAGCAATGAAAAGCTAGGGCCTAAACCTAGATTACTCTACCCAGCAATGCTATCATTTAGAATGAGAGGGTAGATAAAGCGCTTCCCAGACAAGGTAAAGCAAAAGGAGTTCATCATCACCAAGTCCTAATTACAGGAAATGTTAAAGAGACATAATTAAAACCATACACATTAAAAAGGCAACAAATTCACAGCTATCAATCATTATATATTACAATGTAATAATAATAGAAATAAAGTGCACAATAAATGAAGTGCACTTGAACCATCCAGAAACCATCCCTGTCCCCCCGCCCCTGGAAAAGCTGTCTTCCACAAAACCAGTCCCTGGTGCCAAAAAGATTGGGGACCGCTGCTTTAGGGCTTTCCAAGTTTCCCGGAATGTGAAGCTGATTTTTCTGCCTTTATGAAAGGAGCCAGTTCAGCTTGGTGGTTCAAGCCTGGGCCCAGACCTACTCTGAACCGTCGCCGAACAACAGGCGAGGCCTGAAAAACCTGCGGAAAACAGCACCTTCAATGCAGGCTGGTCGGATTGCTAATTAATTGCTAAAACATTTGCAAGACTACAGGCACATTCACACGTAAGCGTCCCCTGCACTAAAAGCAGAAATCAACTAAACTTATCGTCCAGCGCAGGAGTTTACCGATGGATCACAGCCGCTTCCGAGGGCACCCGGATCGTCGGAAGAGCACCCAAATCGTCGGAAGAGCACCCAACTAGAAGCCTAGCTCACTCCGCCCTCTCCACTCCCCCAGGGCACAAATGTCCGGCACGGCAGCGAATCAAACGACCGCGTCTAGAATGGGGGCGGGACTTCCTGCCACAGAGAGCTCGCGTGCGCCAGAGGAAGCTCCGCCCCGGAACTGCGGTCTGCGCTGCAGCTGGGAGAAAGTCGTGGCGTCTTCAGAGAAGGTTCCCCCCTGACAACGGAGGGAGCTGCGGCCGAGTCTCCACACGGTGCGTGCGGGAGCTGGAGAGGAGCTCGGGCAGGCTCCCAGGCGCCCATCGCGGGGCTCCTCCGGCCACGGGATTCTCGGATGCCGAGAGTGCGGCCTGCGGCCCCGCCAAGCAGTCTGCGGACCCCGCGCGGGGGCCACTTCTGAAACGTCAAGGCCCGCGCGGCCCCTTCTTCTCCGCTTCGTGCGGCGGCCCGTGCGTAAGACGAGGCGCGGGCGCCGGTCAGGGGCCGGGTGCCGCTAGGAGGGACCCGGCTTGCTCTGAGGGCCGCTGTCAGCGCCCCCACGTGTAAGCATCGCCCACGTCTCTCGTGGAACTCGGGCCGTTTGGGCTCCTGGCGAGCCGGTTCCGTGGGCGAGTCTTCCTGCGTGCAGGTGTGCTCATCTCCGCGAGGCGCCATCCCGACCGGGCTTGGGCGTGCGTCACGTTTTGTAGACGCGCGAGGACCCAGTGAAACCGATGGCCTCATCACCGCCGTTTTAGAGACGGGGAAGCTGAGGCTCAGCGATCCTCAGCAGGTCTCGTGCAGGCTCAGCTGGCGAGTGGTGCCTGCTCTGAACCGGGCCGCTCCTTTGCCTTCTCTGCACGACGCTATTTTTCTTAAGCACTTAACATGTAATGAAAACCTGGATGTTTTTAAGAAGCCATTTGGCAAAGTCCAGGATGGTGGAACAGGCATTTATTTGCCCTCTTGAGGCAAGACTTGGGAAGGAAAGAAAGCTCCGTTCACGTTTAGTAAAGTAGTCTCCCCTCAGCGCCTCTCCCCCCGCAAGAAACACCCAGATTTTTATTCTGCCTTCAAAATGGCTTGAGTGTGGTGGAATTTATCCTCAATGCTTTGCATCATTTTGTGACTTTGTTATTATTATTTAAAAGGAGAGAGGCCATTTCTCCTTTTAAAAAGAGGAGAACACTGAGATTCTGGGGGCACTCATCAGGGCTTTCCAAAGCACACAAGCAATATTGGATCTGGAGTCCAACCCTGTCCGTCTCACAGGTTCCACCTTCTCGGTGGTCCATCCCCCCTGCCCCCACCGCCCCTTCCAGGCCCAGCTGGCTGCTTTGAGGGTGTATTTCTTTCCTTCTTTGATCTCTAGGTGGGAGCATCAGTGGTAGAGCCATCTTTGCGTCCTCATTTCTTGGCAGGGCTTGATAGTCCCTAGGCTGCTTAGGGAATATTTGTTGCTTCACAATCCCATGCTCCTCAGCTGGCAACCTAATGGAATGTTTCTCCTTTTCAGCAACCATGAAGCTGAAGGAGGCGAACTCGAGGCCAAAGTCCCGAAGCTATGGCAGGTTGCAGACGAAGGGAATCAGAGTTGTGGGAAAATGGAAGCAGGTGAAGATTGACCCAAATGTATTTGCCGATGGACAGATGGACGACCTGGTGTGCTTTGAGGAACTGACCGACTACCGGCTGGTCTCCCCTGCCAAGGTTTCCTCCAGTCTCTTCTCGAAGGACAAGCCCAAGAAGAGAAAGGCCCAAGCTGCTTCAGAAGGACAGGAAGAAGGAGAGTGTAGCTCCTCAAAGAAAAAAATGAAGTTGAAGAAGAGGAAAGATGGAGAAACTGAAGGAACCAATGCCCAGAAAGAGGCTGAAGTCAGAGAGGTGGAGCCAGAGCCCCAGGGAGGTGGCACAGCATGCCCAGGTCCGGAGGCAGGGGAGCTGGCGTCAGGAAGCCTGGCCCTGACGGTTCCAAAAAAGAAGAAAAAGAAAGGGAAAAAAACCCCAGAGCCTTCCCAGGGTTCTACCCCGAAGGTGCCCAAAAAAGCAAAGACATGGATGCCTGAAGTGCGCGACCAGAAGGCAGATGTGTCAGCTTGGAAGGATCTGTTTGTACCCAAGCCAGTTCTCCGTGCGCTCAGCTTTCTAGGCTTCTCTGCACCCACACCGATCCAAGCTCTGACCTTGGCACCTGCCATCCGTGACAAGCTAGACATCCTCGGAGCTGCTGAGACAGGTACAGGCACCCTTCTCTGGCCAGGGCAAGACTGCTTCTGGGTTTAGCTGTGGCTGCTCACAGGCTGGATGCTGGGGGGCGGGGGCTGCTGGGAACATAACCACAAAAACAGTGTTCAGTGGAGGTGTGTAGAAGTCAGCCAGCTCTGGGTTGAAACCTGCCAGTTCTGATTGGTACCTGAGGCAGGTCACTTTATTTCTCTGAGCAGTACAGGCCCCCTTATAAAATGGAAATAACAGCAATACGCATTTCTGTTGCTCTGTGGGTTAAATGTAAATGCTACAGTAAACTAAAATTTACACAGTCATTGTAAGTGATCTGCAAATGGTAGTTTTTTCCTGTTCTTGAGCCTTTTCTGAATGGCGCAGGTTAAAGGAGGGCTAAGATCAGTCCTCTGGAGAGGTAGACCTTCATTAGTATAAGGAAGAAGTGTCTGATTCTTGAGTTGTCCAAAGATGAAAAGGACCGCTTTGGGAGTTGGTGAGTTTATTGTCATTGGAAGGATTTGAGTCTGTGCTAAATAACCACGTGGGCAGATCCGGGCACAGGGTGACTGTTAGGACCAGGCATTGAAGAAATGCGTTTCCTCGTTTTCCAGGCTACCTCAGACTTTGTGACGAATGACAGGTGGACTCCCTGGGAGGACTGAACTGGGGACTTGGAGAGGAGCTTGTACTGCCTGGAACTGTAGTCCAACTAGACCAGCTGTGTGTGTGTATATATATGTACACATACACACACACACACATACGTACACATATATATAGAAATGTGGGCCACATACATAATTTTAAATTTCCTAGGAGCCTTGTTAAAAAGGTACAAAAGAAGAGGTGAAATTAATTTTAATGATATATTTAACCAATTATATTTAAAAATTTTCCATATGTAATTTACGTAGAATTATTGAGCTCTATTACATTTCTTTTTATTTATTTATTTATTTTTATAAGAGTTTATTATTTAAGAGCACATGCAGAACTAAGATCTCAAATGCTCCAGAAAATAACCTACATTCCTTTTCATACTAAGTTTTCAAAATCTGGTGTGTGTTTTGAACTAGCAGGACACGTCATTTTAGAGTAACCACATTTTTGGTGCTCAATAGCCATACGTGGTCAATGACCACTGTACCGTGTGGCATAGGACTAGACCATCTAAACACTTAGTGCCTCCTGGAACAGGGGTCAGGAAGTTGGCGTGAGGCCTTATGTAGGAGTCACGCAGATGGAAGAGCAAGCAAACACCAGTTAAGGGGAATGGAGGCAATAATGGCTTAGAGCATTTACTCAGCATTTACAATGCATCATGCCCTGTGTTAAGTTTGTACAACCACTCTGGAGTAAATTCCACTGGCATTCCCATCTTACTGATATGGAAACTTGGTATCACAGAGGGTAGACATCATCTCCAAAGCTGCATAACTGGAAGTGGTAGTGCCTGGGTGCTAGTCTGAGTCTTTGTGCCATTAGACATTTGGCTGTGCTGCTTTGGTACGTGCAGAGGCCTGGAAGTGGGTTTCTGAAGGCAGAGGGGCGAGGCCATTGGGAGCCATGGTGGCTAAAGCCTGATGTTGGATTTGTACCACAACGCTTACCAGGCCATCCGCGAGGAATGTTGTGGATCTGCAGGCCCAAGATGCAGAAAGATTGGGGCTGTGGACTGCTGCCTGTGCAGGTGATGAATACGCCCGTCGTCCGCACAAGATGCTCTGGCCCCCTTTGTAATTCCTCCTTTCCTGGCCTCCCCTCTTTTATCCCCAAGCAACCTCTGATATTTCCGTGTTTCTTGTTTGTGCTTTTTGTTTTATCCTTTATATGTGTAAGAAATCCCAAAATACATTTTCATTATTTTTGCTTCAACTGGTCAACTAATTTCAAGAGAAGTTTAAATAAGAAAATGACATCTTTTATATTTATTCATGTTACCATTTCTGGTGCTCTTCTTTTTTTTTTTTGGATCCAGATTTTCCTCTGTATGAAAGACTTCCTTTAATATTTTTTATAGTTCAGGTCTACTGATGATAAATTATTTTAGCTTTTATATGCCTAAAAAAGTCTTTATTTTTACATTTGTTTTGAAAGAGACTTGCTGAGTGTCGAGTGCCAGATTGTTAGTTATTTTTTCAGGTCTTCAAGTACCAATATTGTTACACTCTCTTCTAGCTTTCATTGTGTCTGATAAAAAGTCCTGTTTTTCTTATCTGAAGTTTTATGGGTCTGTTTTTGTTCTGTTTTTCTTCTAGTTCTTGCTTATAGGACCTCATTTCTTCGTGAGTTTTTTAATACTGAGAGATGCTCATTGTCCTCTGAAAATTATTTGTGAGAATTTTTTGAGGCCTATGATAAAGGTTTCTTTTTCCAAAACTCATTTATTTGCTTCTGCTTAGGCTCGATAACTTTGAAACTATGGGACTTTAAATTCTCAGCTTGAGGTGTTTTATTTTGTTTGTTTTTGAAATATTTTTCAAAGATTTTATTTATTTTTTGAGGGAGGGGAAGAGAGGGAGAGAGACGTCAGTGTGTGCGAGCTACATCGATAGGCTCACTCCCACACATCCCTGGCTGGGGGCCTGGCCTGCGACCCGGGCATGTCCACTGAGCCATACCAGCCAGGGCAGAATTTTTATTTTTTTATTCCTTGTTCCACACCAAAGAAAGATCTTGGGAAAGTACTGTATAGATTTCCATTCCTTAACCCTCCACACCATGTTGTTCCTTAGCAACAACAACAAAACACACATGTATACAACTTGCCCATCTCTTGGGGGTTTCATTGCTTGGACATTTGTCTGTCATTCATCATTGGTGACCTCAGGTTTCAAGGCCAGTTTGCCAGGTTTTCTTCAGGCTCCTAAATTATAGGAGCAATGCTGTAAGGAAACTTATGTAGGATGGAGGGGCTTTGGGTTGGTCAGGGTGGCACTCTGTCATTTCAAGGGTCCTTTATTCTATGAAAAAGAAAGAACCCCGGACAAAAGTATGTGCATCTGTTGATTCACACTGTTTTTGTTGACTTGTTTTACTTCTAAGGAAGCGGGAAAACTCTCGCCTTTGCCATCCCAATGCTTAATTCCGTGCTGCAGTGGCAGGTGAAGAAGCCTACCCCCCCTCTAAGGAACACGGCAGCAGCGCCTGGCGACACTGGAGCTGAGGCAGGGCCACTGGGCGAGGCTGGAACTGAGTCTGCAGCGTCGTCTGGTGAGATTGGGACTGAAGGTGAAGCACAGCCCAGCGAGGCTGGAGCGAAGGCTAGAGCACCACCCAGCAAGGCAAGTGCCAAGGCTGGCACTGCCACCTCAGAGCAGGCGCTGCCCTTCTGTGACGACGATGCTGGTGAAGGACCTTCTTCCCTGATCAGGGAGAAGCCTGTCCCCAAACTGGATGAGGATGAACAGAAGTTTGATGAAGAGCAGACTGGAAAGTTAGAACAAGAGTTGGGTGGCAAAACTGTCACCTGTGAAACACATCCAAAGCGTCCCCTACTTGGACTGGTTCTGACTCCCACTCGAGAACTGGCCGTCCAGGTCAAACAGCACATTGATGCTGTGGCCAGGTTTACAGGTGAGATTTAGTTCTATGTAATAAGTATTTCCTGAGAGCATCCTAGGTAGCAGAGGTGAATGAGCTGTGGCCTCTGTCCCCTAGGGAAACCTTTGTCATCTGTCAGAGGATTAAGCCCTGCAGGAATTGAGTGACACTTTCTCAGTTTTCCTAAGAATGACACATAGCTAATGCTATTGTAGATGCACAGGAAATTAATTTATTGGATACAGTATATGCTCAGGGCAGGGTTTTGCGAACTACCTGTTTTTGTAAATAACGTGCAGCCACACCCATTCGTTTACAAATGTGGTGGCTTTTGTACTACCAAGGCGGAGTGGAGTAGAGAGTAGTTGTTACTGAGCCATTTCGACCACAAAGCCAAAAATGCTGACAGTTGACCCTTCAGGAGAAACTTTGCTGACCTCTGCTTTAAAGCATTAGAACTTCAATTCTCTCATGGGACTCCTTTAGGGAAGAACAGCACAGTGGGAATTTGAAGTTTATAATAAAAGCAGCAGTTATTTACCAAGCTCTTACTGTGTGCCCGGTACTCTGCTAAGCGCCTTGCCTGCGTGACTGTGTGTCTTTCACGCTGGGTACCTGGAGTCAGTCCTCCACAGGGGAGGAGAGAAGAACGCTGGGCCGAAGAGGAGATTCGGGTTAATTCTAACTGAGGGGGATGGGCAGGGCTTCCTAGGGGAGGCGTGTCACAGCTACAAGCAGCTTGACTCCCAGCGTCGCGGCGGGACGCAGCTCAGCTTCTCCAGGGCCTTAGATGTACGCATGCCTGGGTTCGGATGCACCCCTTCCGCTGTAGCTGGGGAGGAGGGAGTAGAAAGAAGCAAGGTGGGGGGCGTAGGCAAGGCCCAGCTCACAGAAAAGACCCAGTAGGTCCTCTAGGAGTGGCACCGACAGTCACCCCCTGGAGAGGGGAGCTGTGCCGGTGACCGCCTGGGTGGGGGTGCCCGGGTCCGCTGTGGAGGAAAAGCGGCGAGACTGAGCGACAGTGTCCCTTGTGTTTTGTCTTCCGTAGGAATTAAAACTGCTATTTTGGTGGGTGGAATGTCCACGCAGAAGCAGCAGAGGATGCTGAACCGCCAGCCCGAGATTGTGATCGCCACTCCAGGCCGCCTGTGGGAGCTCGTGAAGGAAAAGCACCCTCATCTGAGCGACCTCCGGCAGCTCAGGTGAGAGGCAGTGGCTGCCCTCCCCCGGCCCTCGGTTCTGGAGTGGGCCTGAGGCGACGTGGTAGTGTGTGCAGTGCCTTCTCCCTGTCACAAAATGCCATGGTGTGGTACCGGACGGCCAGACCGTGGCCTTTGGAAAACTAAGTGTGCACGAGGGAGATTAGTTGAGGCCCTCACATGGTGGTCGCGCGCGCGCGTGCGTGCATGTGTAGGGTGGGGATGGTAGTAAAGTGCTCTAGGTCAGTGGCCCCCAACCTTTTTGGCACCAGGGACCAGTTTTGTAGAAGACAGTTGTTCCGTGGTTGCGGGGTGGGGAGGACAGGAGGTGGAGCTCAGCCGGGACGGTGAGTAAAGCTCTGGGTGCTCACCCCCACCCACCGGCCGCTGTGCCGCCCAGGTCCAGCAGGGCTGGCTCAGGTCTGTGGCCTCGGGGTTGTGGGCTCCTGCTCTAGATGGTCCCTCTTAGCCACTATTAACCAGCTCAGGTGTCTGGATCTACAGGTGCCTGGTGATTGATGAGGCTGACCGCATGGTCGAGAAAGGCCACTTTGCTGAGCTCTCACAGCTGCTAGAGATGCTCAATGACACCCAGTACAACCCAAAGCGGCAGACACTTGTTTTTTCTGCTACACTGACCCTGGTACATCAAGCTCCTGCTCGAATCCTTCATAAGAAGCACACCAAGAAAATTGACAAAACTGCCAAACTTGACCTTCTCATGCAGAAGATTGGCATGCGGGGCAAGCCCAAGGTCATTGACCTCACAAGAAATGAAGCCACAGTGGAGACACTGACAGAGACCAAGATCCATTGTGAGAATGATGAGAAAGACTTATATCTGTACTACTTCCTGATGCAGTATCCAGGCCGCACCCTGGTGTTCGCCAACAGTATTTCCTGCATCAAGCGCCTCTCCGGGCTCCTCAAAGTCTTAGACATCATGCCGCTGACCCTGCATGCTTGCATGCACCAGAAGCAGAGGCTCAGAAACCTCGAGCAGTTTGCCCGTCTGGAAGAGTAAGTCGGGCCTGTCCCTGGAGCCCAGCCTGTAGCCGTTGGGTCAGGGTTGCCAGGGCGATGGGGAGATGGTGGGAAGCCCCCTTCTGTCACGGGGGCCTTGCCAGTGGAAGGCACACTTTGCTTGCACAGCGTGAGGCAGGCTCGCCCTCATCTAGTGCAGGGGGTTGCAGGTAATGCCCAACGGGAACTTTCTTAATAACAAGCAATGATGACAATAGTACCTAACATATTGCACACTTACCAATAGATTAAAATGCCATGCTGGCATTTTAGATACATTGCAACATTCACTTCTGACATTCTTGAGAAGCAGCAGAACAGATTGGCGGTAAAGAGCACAGACTGGAACCAGACTGCCTGAGATCAAATCCTGGCTGTGCCACTTTTAGCTGGTCAAGTTACTTCTCTGTTTCAGTTTTCTCATAATTAGTGTAATGATAGAAGCCGCCTCAGAGGGCTTTTATGAAGATCAGGTGAATTTACGCATATAAAGTATTTCAAATTGCCTGGCACATAGTATGTACTTGCTAAATGTTAGCTTTAATATCATTATTATTCTCATAGGTGAAAAAAGTGAGCTCTGGGTAAGCTAATCAGCTTGCCTGGGGTTTCTTAAGCCCGGCAGAGCGGGGCCTCAGACAAGCCTGTGAGACCCAGAGCTCACGCTGTGCCCCGCATACTGTCATTGTCCCGTCTGCTTCAGAGGCAGACCGGTGCTCAGGCAGCAGGGTGCACCTGGGCAGATGAGGGCCTGGGAAGTTGTGGCTGACTCCGAACTGGCATTTGCCCACAACGGTTTTTCAGGTGACAGGGTGAGTAGTTTAGAACAAGTGTCTGGTTTACCTCCCTTTGAATGTTGGTGGGTAAAGTTAGTGGTTTATGGGATCAGGGCGTGGCCAACTGGCCCAGGGGCCACATGTGGCTCACCGCCTGTTTTTGTGCTAAAGCTGTATTGGAACAGAGCAAGGCCCATCAGTGTATTGTCTGTGCCAGCCTCTGCGCTGTATCAGCAGAGCCGGGTAGTTTCCACAGAGACTGGCATCCACAAAGCCAAAAATAATTTACTGTCTAGCCCTTTGCAGAAAAAGTGTGCTGGCCTTGACTTAGAGCAATTGTTTAGTGTTTTTACAGACTTCAGTTTGCATCGTATTCTCCATTCCTGCTTCACAGATACAAGGAGTTTGGACCTTGAAGGGTCCAGAATCTTAAGTTTTTCAAACAGACCTCAGGTGCTTTCAGCTTTTCTTGAACTATACAGACATTAAGAAATGTCACCCCACACATACTATCAAGTGCTTGCTCTGCAACGGGCACTGTTCCAGGGACTGGTACTAGCGCAGTGAATGATGCTAAGTCCCATAGAGTCCACACTCCAGCAGAGGGAAGTAATAAATTGAAAAGTAAGCTTATAGTTTGTCAGGTGATACTGAGAGCTAAATAGTAAAGTAGGGGGAGCTGTGCAGCCTGTGTGTGTGGCCAGGGAGGCTTCTCTGATAAGGGGGATTTGAGCAGAAAATGGACTATCTGAGGAAGACCTTTTGAGACCTAAGGTATAGGAAGCCTATGAACTTTAAGCAGGTTCAAAGGCTTAAAGGCAAGGGCGTGTTTGGCATGTTTGAGGAAGAGCAAGGACAACTCTGCCTGGAGGGGAGTAAGTGGGAGGGTGATGGAAGGTAAGGTCGCCAACCTGGAGTATGTGTGGCTTCACTTAATTCACTGGAGGTGGTCTTCAGTTTTGCAGAGGGCGGCTTGTTGATTATAGCCACGTATGTACCTTGGGAAGGTAATCTCTTTGAGCCTAAGTTTCTAAATCTATAAAAGGGAGATAAATAGTATTATTTCATAGAGGTTTATAAGGATGACAGTGTTTAGAGGACTCAGCAGGTGGCAAGAATTTGATTAGTGGCAGCTCTTGGGTACCGTTAATGAGCTTTCTGTCTGTACCACAGTTGTGTTCTCCTGGCAACAGATGTGGCGGCTCGGGGCCTGGATATTCCTAAAGTCCAGCACGTCATCCATTACCAGGTGAGGCACCAGGGAACTTGTGGGCATCTCCCATCAGCAAATGGGGAGTTTTTATTTTTTATTTTTAGAGAGGGGAGGGGAAGGTGAAAGGGAGAGAAACAAAGATGCTTGATATTTACGGGTGGAGAGATGGGCGTGTAGAGGCAGGAAAGGAAGGGGCAAGGACATGGGAAGTGGACGGTCAGTTGAGAGAGAAGAGGGGGTTGTGCTGGGAGAGGGAAGTGAAGGGGGGCAGATAGATCTCCTTTCCAGCCCTGCACTGGGGAGGGCGCTGAGCGTTACCTGGGCTCCGTGGAGAAGGCGGATGTTGAGCAGCGGCGTGCGCTGTGGGAGCAGGGGAGGGAGGGCTTGTCAGCGCCCGGGCCACATTACCTGTGGAAAACACATAGAGGCCGCTGGGCCCCGGGCTTAGCATGGCCTTTGCAGCCAGACTGCTTCAGTTCGAGTCCTGGCATCACCATGTGGTTGGATAACCTAGGAGGGATTGCTTAGCACCCATCTGTGAGGAATAAGTGGGATAATACATGCAGAGTGCTTAGAATTGCCTGGCACATTGCAAATGTTGCCACTCAGTAAATGTTGGTTGTGATTATAGTCAGCCAGTCATGCGGAATTAATGAAGAACCAGTGGATTTTTTAGGGGGTTATAAAGGTCAGAGTTTTGACTCAGGAAGATGACACTGGCAGCTTTGGGCTGCATCAGGGAGAGTGGGGAAGACTAGAGACCAAATAAGGAGGGACCGCCGTTTTCCACCTGAGGAGCCCTGAGGGCCTGCACGGTGCACTGGCACCGCACCAGGGGCGGTCTGACTCGGGCCGGGAGAGGGCTGGGTCGGCCCGTGGTGCGGGGGCGGCTGCCAGCCGGGGGCGCTGCTGGCCCCGAGGGGAGGAGCAGTGTGGGGCGATCGCCACGTGGTCACCTCCCAGTTCTCCTTGGGCAGGTCCCCCGCACCTCGGAGATCTATGTCCACCGAAGTGGCCGAACGGCTCGTGCCACCAATGAAGGTCTCAGCCTGATGCTGATTGGGCCTGAGGACATGATCAACTTCAAGAAGATTTACAAAACCCTCAAGAAAGATGAGGACATCCCATTCTTCCCTGTGCAGACAAAGTACATGGACACAGTCAAGGTAAAGAGAGTGAAAAGCCCCGTCGCTGATGAGGGGAGGGGCCATGCTGCCCCCTCGCCTTGGAAGTGCAACCCTGAGAAACTGGGGGTGGGTCTGCCACGAGTGGGACAGGGAGGCTCATAAAAATACGGAATGGGGCGCTGTTCTGATGTGAGGAAGGAATGGCAAGTGGCCGAAAGGGGAATTGTCTTCCCGAACCATCTTCCCCCGGAGCCTCCACCATCCCCCTCCTCCTCTGGACAAGGGCAGCGGGCACTGCTGCCTGTCCGTCCCATGGGACGGTTGTAGGGAAGCGAGGTCAGTGTGTCTTGCCGAGGCAGAGACGCAAGTTCTGTCATGGTCTTGGAGCAGGTGCCAATGGTTCCTACCTCTGGTGTTTCGTTTTAACTTACCGGGCGCTCACTGAGTGGGTGCTGCCTGCTGTGGGCCAGAGTGCATCAGATAGCAAGCCGGGCGCATTCTCCACGGAGGTCCACTGGCGTGAGAGGCAGGCCAAGCCCACGCCAGCATTGAGGCACAGGTGGCGTGCGGAGGGACTAAGCAGGCACATGGTCGAACTGGTAGAAGACGAGGTTTCCTCCGGGCCGCCTGCAGGCAGAGACGTGGAATTGCGAAGAGGAGATGAAATTCCAGGAGTCGAGGGAGTAGAAGCATGGGACAGTTCAAGGACTTTGGGGAGACCTAGGGGAGAGGAAGATGGAAAGGTGGGTACAGAGGGTTCCCGTTAGTAAAGAGATAAGGAGCCACTCTGGCTTTTCATGACTCCTTTCCCTTACATCGCAAGATCGCTTCCTTTTCTTGGTGTATCCTGTGACTGCTGCCTGACCCATGAGAGGGAAGGTTGAAATGTTTGTGGAGAACGACGGCGTGAAAGAGTTGGTTGTCCCTGTGGTTGAGGGCTGGGCCCTAACTCGGGGCTGTGGCGCCTGGGAAGGAGTTTCCTTTGGACACCTGTAGGTCGGCAGTGCGCCCAAGTGGGCTTCCACGGGAGGCTGTTCAGGTTTGCTGGGAAAGCCGGCTCTTGTGATTTCCCGTGTACGCGCACATGCAATGATTGCCTTCTGCTTTTTCATCAGGGACCGCTGATCTCAAGGGCGTTTTTAAAAAAATAATACACAACCTGAATGGACTTTGGTTCCCAGAGGCCTGAACCCTTTGTCAGATGAACACTTTCTGTTCCTTTCCCCAGGAGCGAATCCAGTTGGCTCGGCAGATTGAGAAAGCAGAGTACCACAACTTCCAGGCTTGTCTGCACAACTCGTGGATTGAACAGGCGGCAGCTGCCCTTGAGATTGAGCTGGATGAAGAAATGTATAAGGGTGAGTGAGCTGGGTGGAGCTTGAGAAGGGGGGCATTCGCTTGTGCACTTGTGTTTTCCTTCCAGCCTTTGTCTGGTTGGAACCGCCCCACTACCATGGAGCCTGTCAAAATTGGCAAGATGCCTTTTCCTTCTCCGTGACAGGCCCTCGTCCAGATGAATGTAAAGCCCTCAGTCTTTGTTCCCTCTGTCTTGTTTGTCTGGAGCCTTCAGCTGCCATGCACACGTGGAGGAGAGACAGCGACCTTGGGAGCAGGCTCTGGCCAGACTGCCCATGTTTGAGTGCTGGCCTGTCCCCTTAACTGCTGTTACCGGGCCAGGTCTCTTGATCTCTGGTGCCTAGGCTGTCCCCATTTATAAAATGCAGGTTATAAAGTGCCTGTCTCCTGCGGTCATTGCAAAAAGGACCTAACTTTAATGGTCTTAAAGTGCTTGTAACAACGACTGGCAAGTAGAAAGTATTTGATACATTTTAAGGTATTTATTGTCATCATTACTACTACACCTGGTTTCCAAGCTAACAAACCACTTTGTGTATCGTCTCACCTGATGTCCACACTCTCATGACAGACAGTAGGAATAGTTACCCTTTTCCACAGGGGAACCAGGGGCTCACAGAAGAGAAGCGACTTGTGTAGGGAAATGGCTCCATGGCTAGGCATTTCCGGGGCCCAAGGCCAAGGATTCAGGGGTGAATCTGTGTGGTCCCTGCTCTAGGAAAGCTCCAAGTCTAAGGCGGTAGAACCACACTTGGAACTGACACCACCAGTTAGATCCAGTGCCCTTTCCAGCCCCCAAGTGAGCAGCTCAGCTGGGATGTTGGCATCTCGGTGCCAAAATGAACAGATTCAAATTCCGAATCAACAGACAGACTACTCTCTGCTCAGCATGGAAGCCGGAGACCATACCACTGGGCGTGACGACAGGGACCTAGTCCTCTGGTAGCCTGGGCTCGGGGCTGGGCCTGTAGATGCACGAGGCTCTGGCCTCCCTGAGGACAGGCCAGCGTGGAGCCCTTTGGCTGTGCCCGCCTTTGCAGGGGCAGTCACAGGGCTGTGGGGAGGTACCAGAGAGCCAGGCGGCAGAGACGGCATTTCCTGTCTTCTGGGGGGTTTGCAGCTGTTGAGTTGTCAGAGCCCAGGCTGCAGGTAGGTGGATCATAGGAAGAAAACTGATACTCAAGTCCGGAGACTTGGGTTCTAGTCCGTTTCACAGCTAGCCCTGTGACCTTCGGCAAGCGACCTCTGAGTTTCCTGAACTGTAAGATGAAGATAATTCCTGCCTTAGAGGGGTTTTGTGAGAAGTAAAGGACCAAGGGCCCTGAGTGTCTATCCCTCCTAAATTATGTTAGGAGTTGGTCAACACCGGATTCTGCTGAGAACTTTTGAGCCCTGGTTGTCCAAAAGAGTTCCAAAACGTTTTTCATCACGAGTATTATCCATCAAGGGAAACAGTCTTCTAGTAAATATGATCTTTTTCATATTGTGTTTAAGGAGGAAAAGCTGACCAACAAGAAGAACGTCGGAGACAAAAGCAAATGAAGGTCCTGAAGAAGGAGTTACGCCATTTGCTCTCCCAACCATTGTTCAAAGATGAGGTGAAAACCAAGTATCCAACTCAGTCTGGCAAGCCCCCTGCACTCAGGCCTGCCCCAAGAAATGGTGAGTCCGCTTTGAGCTGCCTCACTAAACAGAAGAAGAAGAAGCCAAAGCCAAAAATGAAAGAGCAGCAAGAAGAACCACAGGCGAGCACAAGTGCAAGTTAACTGCCCCCGAGTCAGAGTCTGCTAGTGGCCACACGTTGTGTCTGTGCCCTGTAGTTATATGGGAAATTGTCCCTATTTCGTTTCATTCCACTGTTAACCCTACTACAAAAGTCTCCCTCTTTCCATGCCATCCCCGTAGTGGGAGGGACCTCGTATGGATTTGTGTTGTTTTTGGAGTACGAATTATTTGTAGCAGCTTATGTATTTCCGTATTTCAGTGTTTATAGGCTTGTTTGTTCAACTCGATTTCATTAATTAAAAACAGTTGAACTAGCGTGTCAGCCTGTGTTTTTAGCCAGAATGTGGGGGATACTGTCATAGTCCTCTGGCTGCAGGATGTACATGGGGGTGTCTCACCTCCCTGGACAGTGCAAATGGAGCAGGAAGCCAGAGAGCTTTGCACGTCACTGTAAAAATCATTTCTGCCAGGTTCTCAGCGTGTGTTCCTGCTTTTCCCCTGCAGCAGAACCCGTAGCTCCTGGGCCCTCTACCATGCGCTCACAGCCATTGTTTTGTCTGAGCCACTCTGGGAGGTGGGCAGGGAAGGGGTCGCCATCCTCAGGTTCCGAGAGAACACAGGCCTCCTTAACGTCAGAGGCACTGTGTGCAAGGCAGTCAGGAATGGTCCTGGCCCATTTCTCTGGCCTTGTCTCTCCGCCCCGCCCCTCTGTGACAGAACTGCTTGCTTCCCACGCTCCCGTATGCCCCTTCTTTTGTCCTGAGCCTTGCGTAAGCTTCCTTTGGCCTGATTGCCGTTCCCATCCTTGAGCACGGCTTTGCGTTCTCTGGTCCCTCAGCTCCCCTAGAGGGTGTCCCTGCTGTGGGCTCCCAGAGTAACCACGCTTGCCCTCTTCACAGTACCTACACGCTCAGCGTCTTTGCGGAGCTCCTTGAGAGCAGAGGCTGTGTTATCACCCCTCGCAGCCCGCCGCTTGGGCCAGAGCACGGTGGAAGTGTGTGCTGAGGGAGCCGGTGGCCTCCCAGCGCCCCCCCGGCTGTCCCTGCGTCAGCCGGGATGAGCAGCCACAATTGCTGCAATTCCAGGAGAAGCGCCGATTTCTCTGTGGCTGAGTCTGGGCTTCTGAAGGGCATCCCCTCGGCCCCTTGGTCGGCAAGGGTGGCAGGACGACAGCAGCCTTCCCTCCGCCCCTCGGGCGGCGACCACAGGGTATTGGTCTACGCTCAGTTCAGGTATCGTGTGTGTGGCCCAAGTACCAGGCACTGTTAGGCACTGTTAGCTCTGTTAACTATCATTTCAGGTGTCCCCACCGGGCCCTGAGACACAAGTCTTAGTATCTCTTTTTGTAGCTGAGAAAGCTGACGCTGGTTAAGACTTCTCAGGATCACACAGCAGCCGGTGGCAGAGCTGGGTTTGGAACCCTGGGTAAGTCCTTGTGGGACCAAGTTCAGAAAACCGCTTTGGTCTTCAGAGACAGTAGCGTTGCCGAGGAATGTCTCCCCGGTATCACAAGTGGCCTGGAGGGAGGGGTGCAGCCGGAGACAGCCCTAGTCTGTGAGGTCAGCTCCTACGGTGACAGCGCTCAGAGGATGGCAGGGGGCTCCCCATTTTCCAAATAATGCATGGAGGTTTCAGGAGGCTCAAGTTGCTTAGCAGCCCCTGAGCCGTGAGCGGTCCAGACCACGTGTGATAGGCCAAAGATCCACTAATGGCCATTGACATCCTGCCCTTACCTGTCACTGCAAATCTTGTTTTAGTGGGGTACCGTGTTGAGGGGGTGGGTTTTAAAAAGGTGAGGCCAGCCTCCCAGGCACTTCTGCTCTCTGACCTGATGGGGTGAGGCCTTGGTGAGGCCTCTGGTTCCTTTGGTGCTTCCAGTCCAAGGCCAGGGCTTCCTGAATGTCTGGATCTTCCACTAAACAAGGAGCGGAGACTACCCCCAGTCTACTCACACACATAAGCCCCATGGGTACCAAATAATAAGCCAGGACAAAGTTGTTAGGGAAACCATTTGAATGCTAGGAAATGTTTTCGCCTACTGCCCTGGAAGCTGTCGGGCCTGGCCCATATCCTGTCGGACCAAAGGCCCCAGGGACAGCCCCTTGGAGCCACAACCCCAGGCCCTATTTCTGCTCAGTGAGGGAGTATGTTCGGTTCTTAGACTGCTGTTGGGGAAGCCATAGTGCCAAGGGCAAGGTGACTTGTTCCCTTACCCTGCAGTACCCGCGGCCGCCCTTGGGAAGGGCGGGTTGGGCGCATCCCGTTTGCGGAACCCCCACTATGTGTCAGGTCTTGTAGTAGTTTTCACACGCACAGTCTCGTTCCACTTCAGCTAGTAGTCCTGTGATGTGTAGGTATTTCCCTCCTGTGGGAACTGGGGCTCAGAGAGGCGAAGTCTTGTCCAGGTTAGGTAGCTAGTAAGTTACAAAGTTGAGATTCAAACCCAGGCTGCCTCAAGAGCCCCTTTGTGCTTAAATAAGAACCAGGTCAAAAGCAAGGACAGTTTGTTCTTTTTGTTGGTAAACATTTCCATTGATTTATAAAGTTGCCTTTGGAAACAAAGTAATAAATATGCAGTTACAAACTCTCAAAGCAGTGTTCCTTCCAGCTTTTGGTCTGGAAAGAGATGGCTTCACGGGTGGGGTGGAGAATTACCCAGGGAGAGCGATGGCTAGCGTGCCTGGATCTTAACAGATCACACACTGTGCCTGACTTAACGATTTTTTGATTTTATGATAGTACAAAAGCGATACACACATTCAGTAGAAACTGTACTTCAGACTTTGAATTCTGATCTTTTCCCGGGCTAGTGAAACATGGTGAGATACCCTGTTGTGATACCAGGCGGCAGCCCCAAGCCGCAGCTCCAGGTCAGCCCTGCGTTCAGGGGGACCACCCATGTTCTGCAGTGGACCGTCGCCAGCACTTTTTGGATACTGTATTTTGTTTTCTCATCGCATGATGTCTACCAAACACTCATCTATGTCTCCTGGTGAGAAGAGGAAGACCATTTTTGAGACAGAACTCCAGGTAATTGCCCACCTGTAGGTTAAGTGTTCTGAGCACATGTGAGGTAGGTTAGACTAAACTCTGATGTTCAGCTGGTTAGGTGTATTAAATGTATTTTCTACTTAAAATATTTTGAACTTCAAGGGTTTTGGGGGGCATAACCTATCTTAAGACGAGTGGCATCTGTACTTACAGTTCCACCAAAGCCTGCCTGCCGCCCCCCTCCAGTCTTTCCCTTAGAGAAAGTGCTGTGGCTCGCCTCTCGTGGGCACTGAGTCTAAGCCGATAGACTCTACTGGGAAGGGGGCCCCAGGTGAGCGCTGGTGGGCCCGAAGCCTGGAAGCACAGCACAGGCGAGCCTCAGAGGGGTCTCTCCAGCGAGTCTGCCAAAGAGAAAACTGCTTTTGTGCATGGCACATGGGCTGCGCGTGCGGAGAAGCTGCTTGCGCTGGGCCTGAGAGCCCGGCCGGGGCTCGGGGCTCGGGGCCCATCCCACAGCCTTCAGAGCGGCCGGGGTGCTCAGGCCCGTGCCTGCGCTCACGCTCTTCCATCTGGGAGTGGGGATGCTGACACAAGCTCTGCAGCACGCTCCGCCCGCCTTCCACTGTGCGTTCCCAGAGCCCAGCACTCCTGCCCGGAGCAGGGCGCGACACTGGACTGATACAGAGAGAAGGGTCAGATTTATGTTCCTGTGGAAAAGTGACAGAGTCAGTTATCTTGGGCCCTTGGGTTCAAATTCCAGCCAACGGCAGGATGGGAATGTGGGTCCCTGCCAGGAACTGGAGCACCCTGACATGACCTGTGTGCCCCAGGACATGGAGCGGTCTGCTCCCCAGCCCCTGTGTGTGGTCGCCGTCGGCGGACCTGCCGGGCAGCACCAGTAGACACTAATAAATCCCTGCAGAATAGAACCTGTGAGAAGGCCTTTGACAAAGTACCCCATGGGGCAGTCCCACTGCCCTGTGTCCTCCATTTCCTCCCGCAGAGGGGGGAACCTTGCTGGCAGTGCCCCGGCCCCACCGGGGCTCCGTGAGGTCCTGAGGCAGCACGGCGAGGTTACTAGGGGGCACATCCCGGCGGATGAATGAGGAGGCTGCCAGCCGGGGCTCTGACTCCCAGGCAGTTTCTGTAACAGAGGTCTCCCTCGGTGCCAGTTTCTTCGGCTTGCCTCCGTTCTTTCCCAGCTACCTTCTCGCCAGCCCGTGAACCGAGCAGGAGTGGAAACAGGGAAAGAAGAAAAAAGACCACCTTGCGGAACTTGTCTGCTCAGCTGGCCTCTGGCTGCACGTGCCGCTGTCTCCACCTGAGTGATTCTACTGCAGGGTCCGTTGGGGATGAGTGTACAGCCTCTGGGTCCCAGCTGCTAATTCTTCTGGAGCAGTTGTCCAAGCGGGGCTGGCGGCAGGACCCTGAAGGGCCAGACAGGCAGTCCTGGCCCTGAGAGGGAGAGGGAGCCCCAGCAGCTGGAACGTCCTGCTGAAGTCCCCTTTCTAGGCTTTGGCATAAAAGTCCCTTCTCTTCTTCTTCAGTTGGGGGTAAGAATGCAGTCCTGCTGGGAATGTTGAGAGCCACACTGAACCGCCCACCCTCAGGCCGGCCTCAGCGGGCCAGTGCTTCGTCCAGCCAGCCATCAGAGTCCAGTCCAACAGTTGATTGGACTTGATTCTTTTTTAGAGAACCGTAAGTCACTTAAGACAGTTGACCTTGAGCTCTTCCTCCCTTACAGAGAGGCACTGCCCACGGTGAAAAGAAACCAGAGGGCCCTGGCTTATTTGTTTACAACAACAGAACGTCAGTGCGGCAGAAACTCCTCCAGATGACGAACAGGCCCAGGGAGGGGAGGCGACCTACCCGAGGTCTCGAGGCACTTGGAGCAGAGCCAGGTGCCTCTGCCCAATATTGCCCAACTACCACAGTCCGTAATTGGTAAGCCTCATTCTTACCAGGGACTGTGCCCAAAAGGCTGTGTGTTCTGTTTTCTAACTACAGTCTAAATCGCTTAAAAAATGGAAAAGCCGTAAAGTTCCATTCAGAACGCAGTCCCCGTTAGGTGACAGGCTCCACTTCATGGCCTAAAATTAATCGCGTTTATCAGCGGCATAAAGGATGTTGTAGTGGGACGTTTTATAGAGCAGGTAAACGGAAGGGCTGGCAGCCTCGGGGAACACGTGGTGGTTCAGGGCCGTGTCCGCCTCGTCCACGTACTCCACCTGCAGGGCGATGTTCAGCGCCTGAGACAGGGCCGTGATCTGGATGTGGTCACACTCCGTGGCCATCGGCTCCACTTCCTGCCAAGGCCAAAATGGGAAAAAAAGCAGTTTAGGAAGGAGGCCTAGCAAGGACCAGCGAGAAGGCCAACCCTGGCTTTTGTGGTCCTGGGTCAAAGCATGTCAGCCACGGAGCTTCTGTTGATGGCCGCCAGGCTGGCGTGAGGCCTGGCGCCAGATCCCGTGCAAATCGCCGGGTGTTTAAATGTTGGCGACTAACCTATACGTCATAAACAAAACCCATCTTGGGGCATATGTGACTCCTCAATTATGTCAACGGTCTAGTCCAAGCCCCTATTTCTCAGATGGGAAATCTAAGGCCCAGAGAGAGAATCGACTTGCCCAAAGCCACACAGTGCTGGCGGTTCAGGTAGGGTGCATCTGGCCGGCTTCTCTGTGCTCTTGGAATTGCAAATACAGAGTCCTGTCCAAGTGCCCTGGCTGGGGATGCTGGTGCTAAAGGCTCCCAAGGAGAGGGAGGGGCAGAGCCCAGGGCTGGCGCCCCGTCCCCAAAGCACGAGGCCCCGGGGACCTACGTGAGTGCAGAAGTCCTTGATGTCCATCTCCTCGTCGATGAAGTGTCGGAAGAAGTCCGCGCGGTTCTTGATGAAGGCTGAGGTGAGCAGGCGCAGGAACTGCACGATTCTGTCGGAGGCGCTCTGGTCGTTGAACACCCTCAGCAGGCTGGACACAGAGCCGTCCTTCTCCACCAGCTCCACCACACTGTAAAACTGGCCCCCGCGGCGTCAGCCAGGGCAGGCGCGGGCCAGGTGCACGCTGCCCCACCCCCTGCCCTGGGACTCCCTCCAGCGCATTTTCAATTTTCAATCCTCAAGTCAAGGTGCCAGAATCAATCAGATCCCACCAAAGCTAAATAAGAGGGTTAGACATACTCCGTAGCGAGTGACTTAGCTCAGAGTCATGTTTAGGGAACAGCAGTTGGGGTCTCCCTCCATCACTATCAGGCTAAAATGCCCCCCACCACTACTGGGATCTGGGAGAGGGGTGGAGAGGAATTGGGGGGAAGGAGGCTGGGCAGGAGTTCCCAGCTTGAGAGCCACCCTAAGGAGGTGCCTCCTCCCACAAGGAGGGCAGGGCTCTGGCCTCCCCCGCCATCCCCCACATCCCCCAAGCAGGAAGTCCTTCCCTAGCTGGGAGGAGCAAGTGAGGCCCAAGCAGAGCTGGGGGCTGTGAAGGGGGTCTGGCCAGCGCCCCCGCTCCTGTCTGCTCTGCCAGCGTGAAAGGACCTGGTTCCCCGGCCGCCACACCCAGGTAACTCACAGCATTGAAGAAGTTTCGGAACGTGTGCTCCTCGAAGCCGGCAGCCAGGAGGTCATTGGGGGTCTGCAGGACACGCTCTTTGAACCTAAAGGGGTAGGCTGATGCTTAGTGGGAAACACAAGGAGCGCTGCTGTGATTGTCAACAGTCATCCCACTGTGGCCAGCTGTCCCCAGCACAATGACAAGGTGGGCGTCACAGGTGAAGGACTTGTCTGCCTTTCAAAGCACTTCCACATGGACCACACACTGACTTGTTCTGCCCTCACCAGGACATGGGCATCACACCCATTTCACAGAGAAGGAAGTGAGGTGACCACTGCCTGCTCTGGACAAAGGTCTCGGCTCTGCCCCTCCTCCCTGTTCCCATGGTTCGTGACCATCTCCGGCCTGGGCCACGCTTAGCCTTTCCTTGCTCCTGGTCCCTTCTGCACAGGGACCTCCGAGTGACCTGCCACAGTCTTCTGCCTCGGCACGGTGTGCAGGAAGGGCCCTTGCCTAGCTCGCCAGCCTCATAGCTTCCCTCCTGCCCAGCGGCCACGCGCCACGCGCTGTTTCCCCTCTTAGCAACACAGCCAGGGGGAGGGTCTGTCTGCACTCACAAGGACTAATTATTAAGCTTTCAAGAATTCAGCCATCCAGGTTAGAAACATGGCCATTATTTAAAAATCAAGTTATGTAAACTTTTAATTAAATTATACTAAGTGTGTTTCGGCCCGAACAGCTGGGAATGGCACTGTGCTGGGAGTCCCAGTCCCTTTGTCACGTTGCTCTCAGGCCCTGGGCTGCAGGCTCCCCTCTGCGGGTGGGTGTGAGGTGCCTCCCCGCGGGGTGCTGTGAGGATCTCTGGTCACTGTGTGAGGCCGTGATATGAACAGCTCCACTCCCCCTCGCCCCGGCTCTCCTGTCCCCACGCCCCACCCAGCCACGACCCCGAAACCTCCGCAGCATTCCCAGAGCCGTTCCTCACCAACGGCTGCCGACCCCGCCGTGCCAAGCACTGGGGACACAGCGATGAGTGAGACACGGGCAAGCACGCAGGCCAGGACTCACGCCCCTGCAGCGTGAGGGAGAAGCAGAGCGGCATGGGGCCTGGGAGCGCAGGCTCTCGGTGCGACCCTGGGCAGGTCATTTAACCTTTCTGAAGCTCAGCTTACTCACCTGTAAAATGGGGTTAACGCCAGCCTCGCTCATCCCGCTGCCGCCGCCCACCCCTACCTGGGTGGCTCAGACATTTCAGACGAGGCATCGCCGACATGGCGCTCCCCACCTCCCCAAGCCTCTCTGCGGCAAGTGGCTTCTCTGTCCTGGTGAGTGTCAGGCCAAAGACCCGGCAGTCATCCTGGGCGCCCCCCTCTACTCATTCCACACACCACGCCACGCTGTGAGGGGATCCTGCCGGCACCGCCTCCACAGGTATTTGGAGTGGGACCACCTCTCCTCTCCTCCGGGTCTCTCCCTGCATGCTCCCCTGCTGCGCCCACCCGGTTCTGAAATTTAAGATCCTTAGGCAGCCCCACGTGACCTGCCCGCCTTCCCTCTCCAACGCTCCCTGCCGCGGACAACCCTGCCGCCTTCCCTGCCGACCCTTTCCCCACACGCATCGCCCTTCAACACGTCAAATGCTGCCCTCCCTCGTTAGGGCGCCAGCCCTGCAGGCAGTGTCTTTCGCGTCTCGTGTTCACTGCTGCATCCCCAGGGCTCCAACAGGAGCCGCACGCCCCTGTTGGGCGAGACTCAGGGAGGGCAGGGGTGAAGGTGAACAGAGCGGGCAGGGCTGGGACCGAGACACGGGGTGAGCTGGGCTAGCATCACCCTGCTGAGTCGAGACAACGCCCTGAACTATGCCAAGTTATCCAACTTCCGCTGCTGGGCAAACAGGCGCAGCGTGGTCAGGTAACTTGCCCGAGGTCACACAGCAAGTAAGCAAGAGAGTGAGGCCTGACCTCCGAGCGCAGGGCCTCTGCAAGTGACAATTGTGGGGGGCGCGGGTGGTGGGGAAGACCCACTCACCATGCTGCCTCGACTTGCAGGCTGCAGGAAGGTGGGGAGGGGAGTGACCTGAGACCGCTGACTCTCTGTCAAAGGGGCTCAGCCAGCCTGTCATTCAGGAAGTGAAATGAACGACTCATTCAAAAATACAGAACAGGTGGCTTAATCTCTACCCGCTGGGAGAGAGAATGTATTTGGAACAGGAGATGACGGCCTTCACCTAGCGGCTCTCACCCCGGCCTGACTCCCCCAGCCCCCAAGGAGATACCTGGCGATGTCTGGAGACATTTTTGATTGTCACGACTTGGGGAAGGGGGGTCTAGTCGGCATCTAGTTGGTGGAAGCAAGGGACGCTGCTAAACGTCCTACAAGCGCAGGACAGGGGACAGCCCCAGGACAAGAGCGATCCCGCCCAAAATGTCAGCAGTGCCACCTTGGAGAAAGCTGCCTTAGCAAAGGATTTCTGACACCACGCTCCACAGATCAAGCCTGAGTGCTCAGTGACTGTTAGGTCACTGGTTCCATCCCCAGCCACGTGTGGCTCTCCCTCCTCCACCACGGCAGGCAGCTAGGCACCGCCGGGCATCAACCCCGCTGCCAGCTCCCTCCCTGGGTTAAGCAGGCTGTGCCAAGGAAAAAACCCTCAAGGAACATCAGCACCGAGGTCACAGAGAACACAGCCTCTGAGCCAGGGAGCCCACTCTCCGCCCCACTCACTTGAGGATCTCTCTGCTCTTCCCCAGCAGAGACTCCAGGTAGGAATAGCCCAGGGCCCGGTAGAAGCAGTTCCCGTCCCCCTTGGTCTTGCGGATTGCGGTGAACATTTTGCTGAGTTCCTGTGGGGAGACCAGGAAATGTGGACGATGTCTTCAGCGACAGCCCCTCCTGTCGTGTCCTGCCAGGGCTGGTCCGCCACCACCCCAGGTAACACCGGCTCCCCCCGAAGTCTGCCTGCCCTGCACTGTCTCCCAGCTCTCCTTCATCCCACAAATAGGAAGGAACGCCAGGAGAGTCCTTGTGTCCGGCACTGGGTGGTGACCGGGGGCCCCGGCCCTGCCCTGGGGTGCCCTGCGCTCTTGCAGGGGAAGACACAGAGGAGACCTCGACATGGGGGACAGCGGAAGTCCGGGGGTGGCCCCGGGGCTGACTGGGAGCAATGGCTTCAACACCAGGCTTCCCGAGAGGAGCAGGAGGGGCGTGCACGGTGGGGCGGGCCACACGAGCGGAGGCAGTGATGGGTTCTGCATTGCGGGCCGGCCGGGAGGGTGGCCTCCGTCCTAGGAAGCAGCCTGGCCCATCCTTCAAATATTCCTCAAAAGGCACGGCCCCCTCCCCACCCCCCGCTGTCAATGTCCCTCTGAAATGGCCCCGAGTCCCCTTTGCTGCCTCCCCCATGAGGCTCCAGGTCTGACAGCAGAGGTGGTTTCCAGGAGGTCACGGAGTCCCTCCTCACCCCAGACGAGAGGGCTCGGAGCTGCGGGGCCCACGGAGGCAGGCCGGCAGGGATGGCCGAGAGCCCCCAGGGACATGGCTGCCAGTGCGCCGCCCGGCCCCGGCCCGGCCCTGCCCACGTGCAGAGAGAAGCAGACGCCTGCCGCGCCAGACCCCTGTTCCGGGAGCTGTCCCTGCTCTGTTCCGGCAAACCCCTTCCCGGATCCCCGCGGGCAGGGCTCTCCCTCCAGAGCGGTTACGGTGCTGCCCAAAGCCCAGCCTGCTCATGCACTAGCTGCAGGACCGCGGGCCTGCTGGTTAACTTCCATGCCTCAGATTCCTCAGCTGGAAATGCAGGTGATAAAAGTACTGACCTGCAATGTTGTAATGAGGCTTCAGGAAGTAAATAAAGCACTTAGGATAGTGCCTGGCATCAAAATTTTCTTTCATTTTTTGCAACGAAAGGATTTCTCACTAAGGCAAATGCCCAACATCGAAATATTCTGGGAGCCCTTTAATTTGGTTAGAACCTGGTCCAAATGCTAAGCCTTTTAGCCTTCACACTGGCACCGCCTCCTCTGCTCCCAACTCCAGCCCGTCTCATCCAGGACCCTGTCCTCCGGACCCTCTGCCTCACCTGGATTTTCCTCTGGTAAATCCTGTTTTCAGGATGATCCCGGAGAATTGAGAGAATGTCACATTTTTCTGATATCAGGTTGAAAGATGTTTCACTCTGAAAGACAAAGAAGCAAAGCTGTGACAATTTCAAAAGCAAGCGATGGCCTTCACCAAGTACAAAGCCTCGGAACTGCTAGTTACCCGACACAGTGACTGTTGGCTTCCCACAAAAGGCACGTGTGGTGTCACCAGGCCCCTGCACCCCACGCTCCCTGGGCAGGGTCCGGTCGGCCCCATCGAGGACCGGGACCATCCTCTAACTGCCGAGTTGATTCATTTTATAGAATATAATGCCTCAACCCTAGTGGGCCTTCGTGCTGGCGTGTGGTTTGTCCCTTTGTCTCCCCGGTCCTTCCCATCTCTCCCTTACATTCCTCCTTATCGTCATCCAGCGGCTCGCGATCATCCAGCGAGCCCCAAGCCCAGGTTAGAAACGCAGAGGGTAACACCAGCTGGATACACCCTCTACTGGTGGGAGTTCACATTGCAGCCCAGCTCAGCGTCTAGGTCAATTCCAACCAGAGGGACTATTAGCCACCTGGCCCAGAGTCCGGGCCTCAGGAGAGCCGAGAAGTCATCTGGCAGGGAGCAGGTGACAGCAGAGCCAGGGAAAGTGCAGGGGCCCTCTCTGACCGAATAGGCGAGCCCCCACTGGCCATGTCTCTGCCTCCTGCTTTTCCTGCCCAGACTCGGGGCTCAGACAATTGGGAGATGCACCTGCACCTCCAATGCCTCCCCAGGAACGGCTCTGATTGCAGCACAAAAATAATGTAATTGAATTGGTGTTAAAGCCACTGGTAGTTAAGAGTTTAAAATAGGTGGCCCTGGTACCTGCACGTAGCCCAAGGAGACAATTCTCGCACATTTTTGCTAATGGAAATCAGTTTTCGTTATTTTATTGCCGTCGTTTTTGACAGGCTGCCCCCCACCACAAGGGCCTTTCCAGGGCAGCCTCTCAGGCTCCTGACTGGCTAGACAATGACTTCAGCCCAAGACCCCTGCACTCACATCAGGGACTTTTTATTTTTAATCCTCACCCAGGGACATTTTTCCCCATTGTTTTTAGAGGATAAGGAAGGGAGGGAGAGAAAAAGGGAGAAAGAGAAGCCTCAATGTGAGAGAGAAGCGTTGACTGATTGCCTCCCATACACGCCCAGACCAGGGTCCGGAGCGGGACCAGGGATTAACCCGCAACCCAGGCACGTGCCCTGACCAGGAATCGAACCCGCACCCTTGGTTACAGGATGACACTCCAACCACCTGAGGCACACCAGGCAGGGCTCACAGCGGAGCCTTGATGTTACAAAACGTTTTCCAGCTGGACAAATGTGTCTGGATTTTTGACGACTAGATTTCTGTAGAGCTCACCACCAGAAGCACTAAGTGACTTCAAGGGTAACCCCTGTCTCCTCATCAGACAGATGCCAAACTTCTATCTGACACCGAGCTCGTGCAGCCCCGACTCCTGTACCCAGTATCCAGGACAGAGGAGAGGCGCTACAACTAAGAGAAAGCATTTCTGGGAGGCCTGGATGCCCCTACCCATCAAAGCCACATGGGCCTCTCTTGGCACAGGGCGGCTTGTCAAACCCTCTGAGACCTTCTGTTCACCTGGCTGATTCCCCAGGGCCCAACCCAGGGCATGGAGTGTAGCAGGGGATGAGATGTTTGTTGAGTGAATGAATAAAAGCTGCCTGCTCTCTGCACCCACTCACCTTCCAGGCAGAGACTCCACCTGGCCCTTGCATACGTCTCATTGTCACCACCTGACGGCTCCTCAACAGCCAGGCCTCGGGCCCACTCCTCTGCCCACCAGCCTTGTCAATACACCCTTGGTGGACCTGCGCGTGTCCTCCAGCCCGGGCTCCAAGGTGCCGGGGGGTCTCCCACGGGCGCCCAGGGCCCCAGCGGGCAGGGCCGGCCCTCGGCCAGCCCAGCCTCCCTTGGAGGCTCCTCGGCAGGACTAGCCTGGGCTGTGAGTCACCTCGTTAAACAGGCCCAGCCGCCTCGAAGCCACTCACGGCGTGGCCTCACCTCCAGCTACCGACTCCTTCACGGCGGGGGCCAGGTCCTCCAGCCTCACCCACCAGCAGGGCAGGGCCCAGGACCTGGTCAGTGTCCTCTCCCAGAAGGTCCCCATCATTTCCAGAGGCTCCCAGGGGCTCCAGCCCTGGCCTCACCTGCCTGAGGCTGGGGTCTCCAGGGGGGTCTCCAGGGGGGTCTCCAGGGGGGGCTGGTCCAGGGGCTGAAAGGAAATGCCCTTTCAAATGTCTACTTGAGGGCGTGATGTGTGGTGTACAAATATGTGGAATGATTAAAACATTTTTACTGAGGTGAGTAATCAAAAATGTTTGGAGGCCAAAGATTTAGGAAAGCCCTAGAGCCCCGAATTAGTTTCCTCTGGCTGTGTAACAAACTAGCACAACCCGGGGACTGGAAACAGCATAGATGTTGTGTTTCTGGAGGCTCGGGACGCATTTCCTTACCTTTTTCAGTTTCTGGAGGCGGCCTGCATTCCTCGGGTCGTGAGCGCTTCCTTCCGCCCTCACGGCTCCTTCCCCCTCTGACCCTCCTGCCTTTCCCCTTAGGGCCCCCCCTCTGCCCCCGACGCCCCACAGTGACATCACTGGCCCACCAGGGAACTTCAGGGCCTCTCCGCATCTCGCGACCCTTAACTTCATCACGCCTGCAAAGTCTCTGTTGCCATGTGAGGCGCCCTAGTCACAGGTTCCAGGGATCAGGATGGGGACACCTTCAGAGGGCTGTCACTCAGCCCATCATCCAAATGCCCCTTCTCTGCTGTTTAGCTGAGAAAATAGGGAAGAGCCTGCACCTGGGTCCCCACATGCCTTGGGTCACAGTAATTGGCTGGCCTGACAGAGACCCTGAACTCAGACACTGGCCCCCTCTCATTTGATGCCTGAGCTTGCGCAGCACCCTACTGATGGACCCTCAGACCTTGTCTCTGGCTCTGGCCTCTCCCTGGAGACCTGGCCTCCAGCGGCCACCAGCCGCCGGCCTGCCTGACCAGTGTCCCCAGGTCACTGTGCCCCTGGCTGCTCTCTCACTCCTCCCCTGCTCCTCTCCCCGGTGTCCCCAGCTCTCCCAAAGGCCCTCCAGCCAGAGACCCAGAAGTGCCCTTTTCCCTCCTTCCCTTCCCCCATCAGCTCTGCTCCTGGGCCCCATCTGAGCTGCCACCATCTCCACGCCCCACGGAGGCTGCAACAGGGTCCCCAACGGACCCCTGGCTTCTACTCCTGCTGCCATCCCACCCCTCCTGCATAGCAGCAGGGCCAGGCGCCCCATGGGCAAACCCACCGAAGGCCCGCCCTTCCGCGACACTGTTCCCTCAACCTGGGAAGGATGGCCCCCAGGCTCACGCCGCCTGGCCTCGCCCACCTCTCTCCCTGAGCTCCAGCCACACGACCCTCTCTGAGTTCCTCCGCCAAGACGCACACACTCCCACCTCAGAGCATCTGCACCTGCTGTTGCCGCTGCCTCTTCACGTGGCTCAGGTGATGTCACCTCCACGGGAAGGCCTTCCCTGACCACCCCACCCCTACTGCTTTGACTTGTTTCATTTCTTCTGAGCACTCCCTGGCATGTAGGGTCTCTCCCTGACTTGCAGACAGTCTGTCTCCCTCCGCTAGACTGTCAGCTCTATAAGGGGCCTAGTCATGCCTGCCTGTCATGACTAGATCTCCAAAGCCTGGTGCCCAGTTATGCTCCAAAACAGCGGGATGACTGAGTAAATGGACGAGCTGGCCTCAGACCACAGCCACTGCCGGTCCTTGGTCCACTGCTTTGCCAGAGAGATCATCGAAGTTGACCATCTCTCATTTGTCAAAGATCCGGTATGCCTCTCCCCATCAGCAGAATAGAACCCAATCCCATGGCGCAGCATGTGAAGCCCCTCACAGCTTCTGACCCCACCAACTTTTCTAGACTCCACTCTCCTGCCTCCCCCCAGCCCCCTGCACCCACACAGACCGTCACCCTTTCCTAGAATGTTCTGTTCTCAACCAGACTTCCAGGCCTTCAAGCATGCTGTCCCACCCTGCCTGGCGTGCACCCTTCCCCTGACCCTTCCTGAAGGACACGCCCTTCCACAGCGGGGTCCAGAACCCTCCTCGGTGAAGCCTGGCTCGCCCTCCCCACCCTCCCTCGGAGGGTGCCGGCTTCCCGCTGTGCCCCCTCCCTGGAGCTCTCGGCCAGGCCTCTCAGGCCACGACTAGTGGCTCAGGAATTGCTTGTGCCCAGCTGTGTCTGGACCAACAGTCATTTGGCTCCTAAGAGAGGGCAGACCCTGTCTTTCCCATCAGTGCCCAGCACGGGGTCTGACTAGAATGCTTGCTGGGGTCTTGTTTGATAAATGACAGAACAAAGCCACCAAAGGGCCCTGTGGTGTACTGTTCACTACCAATACTCCTTCCTTCACCCAACGTTAAATGCACTGGGAGGGAGCCTGAGACCCCTCGCTACCTGCAGCCCCTGCTAGTGGCAGCTCCTGGCCTGGTCCTCATCCCAGCCCCTGTCTTCCCAAAGGACTCTGTGTCTTCTCCCTGGGGCCCTTCCTCCAGCTGAGCCCACGACTTTGAAATGGGAAAGGAAAGGAGGGGCTGTGTTTTCCGAAGGCTCTGTCCTCTGTGCACCGCACACACCGACCACCGCACACACCACGCAGCCCAGGGCCCGCCACGGTGCCTAGCAAACGCAGGTGCTCAGTAAGTGCCGAGTGAATGGAAGAGAACAGGCGCTGCGCAGCCTGGGCCCCCGTGACTTGGGACACTCGGGGGCCTTGGAGACGTCCTACTCAGTGGGTTGATCACTTCATCCCTTTCCAGGCACCCGAGCCCCCCAGTCACCAGGTGAGGATCTGCTGCTACTGACCCGCCTGCCCTTGGCATCTGGTCTCATGGGCTCTGGGCAGACGGGGTGCGTGTGTGTGGGGGAGGTGATCAGAGGTCTCACGGTGCAGCGCAAAGACCGGATGATGGGTTTCCAGCCCCCACTATCCCTGCTGTTTTCTCAGCTATCCAGTGGTGGCCAGAAGGAATGCCAGTGTCCAACTCCAGGGGGGCTAAACCCACTATTACCCCATCTCAGGCCACCCCTAGGGGGCGGTGCAGAAATACCTGGGTGCCCCTCCAGGAGCAGCAGAGGGAGGTAAGCCCTTGGGCACTGGGTAGAAGCAGGAAGCTGGTGCTCCCAGATGCCCCCGTGGCCTCAGGCACACCCCAGCAAAAAGCCGGTTCGTCCTGGGCAGCTCTGGCTCAGGTGGCCTGGCCGCTCGTGCCACGCCACACCCAGAACCTGTCGGGCCGTGACCCGGCTTTGACCCATGACCCTGCCCCGCAGCACCCGGCAGTGGCGGCCCATTTCCATGCCCAGACACGGGAGGGAGGAGGCCGAGCACGAAGAACCAGGTACCTGTGTGCACCTGTTTCCAGGACTGTTACCAGAGGAAAGGCCGCATCACCTCATGCAGTCCTCACAGCAGCCCATTGTGCAAATGAGCAGCGTCGTTTTAGGGAGGGGACTGGATGGACCAAAGCCTCTCAGCTGCCCAAGGGGTGGAGTGACATGTGAACACAGGCTGTGTGACTCCAAGCCACCATAAGGGTCACCCGCCCTTACACGCTACAGGTGCCCTGGAAGAGGGGTCAGGGCGAAGGGTTTCAGGCAGTCATCGCAGCCAGTCCCCTGAGGATTGCTGGGCCCCTCCCCCAAGTGGGGAAGGCCTGCTGATGCAACACAAATGGCACTGGACTGTGAGTGTGGAGGCCTGGGTTCAAATCCCAGGGCTACCACAACCAGTCCCAGTCCCCTTCCTGTCTGTGCCTCAGTTTCCCCCTCTGCTCAAGCCCTAGGCTTGGCTCTACTCAGTGGGTCTCTGGAGCCCTTTCTGCTCAGGCAGGACTCTGAACCAGGGGTTCCTCTAGTCTTTGCTTTGCCCTGACTGCTAACTCACTGCCTCACAACTTGAGACAGCCTCTCTCCCTGACTCCTAACTCCAAACACCTTCTGAGGATGATGGACAGAGGGAACGTTTAGTGACCCAGCCACCTCTGCACCTCATAGGGTTCACTCGCGGTGCTTGGAAGAGCGGTAGGGTCTCTGATGGCTGAGCTGCCAGACTGGGGGTTCCTTAACAAAGAGGGGGCAACCCTTAACCCTGGAGCCTCCCCCTGTCCTGGTCCTGTTTGAGGGCACCTACCTTGCGCCGGCCGGGCGGCACCCTTGGGACGCCTGAGAGGAACGCTCTGGGAGCAGGGGTAGGGGGGAGGGTGGTCATGGGGGCCCGGCTGGGTCCCCTTTGCTGTGCATCCATGGGGGGCGGCAGAGAGCGTCCCGGGCCCTGCAGGGCCTTCAGAGGAAGGAAGGGAGTCTCCAGCATCCCTCCGGACTCAGTGTTCCCGGGGGTCCGAAAGCCACTGGTCCAGCGCTGGGAGCTGAGCCTCGCGCCCGACCCCAGTCCCGCAAGTGCACGTGCGCCACGGCGGCGACCCCGCCTACCTCGCCCCCTCTCTGCCCCCCCTTCTGCCCTCCTCGCGCCTCCCCCCACGACCACTGACCATAGTGACCGGAGCTGTTGGTCCAGGTCCCGCCCCAGCGAGGAGCGATCCGGTGCGGGAGGGCGCCGCGGGAGCCACTGGCTGGCTTCGCCGTTGGGTTGGGCTGCGGGGGCTTCGAGGGCGTGGGGGCCAGTGGAAGAGAATGCACCCGACCGCTCCGAAAACCAGAGGCGAGACCTCCACTGTGTCCCAGCAAGACACACGCTCCGCGATTGACGCCTGAGGCGGGCAATCAGAGGCCGGAGCACTAAACGTCACAGAAAGTGGGTGGGACTTCACGCGCCTTCAGCCTATGCTTTAGGGTCCATTTGACAGGGTACCGCCCCCTTTTAAAGACACAGAAACCTTTTAACTAACGAAGGAGTTAGAGCGATGTGGAAAGAAAGATCTTCATTAGTAAAGGCTGTAAGGCTTTTGACCAAAAACTGCAAATGGAGGTCTTCTGAAAGCTTAGTTGGCCCTCATTAATTCATAAACAAGGTCATCAATTATAGCTTACTCAAAATCAGAGGACAGACACGTAGGGAACACGTGTTCAAAACATTAACCGCCTGCCCTTGCATAG